ATGAACGGCCGTCCAGAAGCCGGCGACTGATCTGCCTCGCCCGGGAAGAGCGCAATGATGGTGCCAACTTGGGCCAGTGAAGCAACGTCCTCCACAAATAGACTGAAGAACAAAACGACAGCAATTTGTCTGTTCCCCTTCTCCCAATTCCCCAGCATTGTTCCCACCCCCGAATTCCCCAATAAAAATGTTTTAAAACAAAAGGGGGGTTAGGATGGTAATTTTATGTTATGTGTATTTTACCACAATTTAAAACATGTTTTTAAAAATAGTAAAGGAGGAAGTGTTTAACCATAGTCAACAGCTCTGCAGCTGCTTTTCTCCAGAGGCTCTGCTCTGAAAGGAGCTGAGGGCTACGGCTCACTGCTACCATCTGTCAATCATCACCACTTCCCACCACAGCGGAACTCCTAAAGCGGTGCCTGAGATTGGTGGCTGCCTAGAAACATCGACTATAAATGGCTGGGTCATCTCCAAAGACTGCTTCATGCACACTATTCCTACCTGGCTGCCAAATGGGTGGTCTGTGTGGGAATAACAATAAAGCAGGCACCACTGACCAAGCCGTGGACCAGACCCTGCACTGAACACAAGCCAGTAGCATACAGGATTATGTCTCTTAATAAGCCAATAAAGAAATGAGATACTCCAAACCAGTGACAGATGAATGGCACTATTGTTCCAGGCAAAGGGACAAATTCATTGCTTAATCCCAAGCCTTATAATACCAGAAGATTTCAGCCTTCTCTGTAGAATACAGAAAATCCTTCCTCAAATACCATTTCAGTGTCAAGCAGTCCCCTTCCATGGGCACTGATGCTCCTTCACATCGTGATGAGAATTCAGTGCACGATGCCCCCACTTTTCAAGGCCAACAAAAGAAACCAAAATTCAGCATTTTAACAACAACTAACATGAGACCTCACCGTGTTTTTGCTTCGGGGGCAGTGAATGTTTGCTGAAACATGTTTGGATTTATTCCTGTGACTACCATCAACTTTTCTTCTTGTGAATTTTTAAGGTCTAAAGATAGTCCTACAGCTTTATAAATAGTCAGGCTTTTTACATAAAAGAGGGCAGGGGTCCAATGTGGATTCTGTCATCTTCAAGTTCAGAAGGCACAGGCGGGCACAGCTTTAAGTCTTGGATTTATTTTTTAAATACTCTGTATATGTTATTGATATCCTACTTTTCCTGTTAGACGCTTCATCCTGTTATAACTTTGGCATTAAGGAGGCTCCAAAACCCCTAGTATAATAATTAAAAAAGAAAAGCTTTATCAGTCACGTCTTTACCCCTCCGATTTTGGTCCTTTTTGTCACTCATGTGTGCAGTGAAAACATTCCTTTCCCACACTTTCTTTGCTTCTACCTCTTATTTTTATTCTTAACACAGGAGCAAAAGTGATCCCTGTAAAGTGCAAGTCACAGGCATGATGTATCTTTGGGGGATGACGGAAATGTAAAATTGAGGTGATGGTTGAACAACTTTGTACAATTACTAAAAATCACTGAATTGTACACTGAAAACGGGGGGATTTTGTAGTATGTAAGTTGTACAGCAGGAAAGTCAGATTGTTTCACTCTTCTGCTCAAAACCGTCCCGTGGGACCCATCTCTCATGGAGTAAAAGTCAATGTCATTGTGACAGCCACAAAGCCCTTTGTGACCTTCCCCGCACTTTCCCCTCACTCACTCTGTTCCAGCCACACTGACCTTGCTGTTCCAGTGTCTGCCAGGCCTTTGCCTTGCTGTTCCCTCTTCCTGAATGCTTTTCCCTCCGACATCCACCTGCCTCCCTCCCTCCATCTTTCACTTCTTCAAGGCAGACAGATACAACCTCCCACCCTGACTTGATTTGGCTGTGCCCTGGACTGTTCTATAAAGTTTAACTACTGGTCACAGTTCAAGGTCACAGGCAACTACTTTTTTGTTGTTGTTGTTTCTCATAACAGCTTCCCCTTTTTGTAGCCATTTCCAAGATCCTAGCAGCAGCTCTGGGCAACCCAATCGGGAACCCTGCATTACCACTTCTTGCCACAAGGGGTCCCAGCCCTCCAGGTGTCCGCACCGAGGGCTGGAAAGTAGTCCCAGCTCTTCCGTGACAGTGAGCTTCTGTGGGCAGGGCAGGTGCCTTGAGTGGCCCGCCCACAGAGAGAGCTGTTGAGCTCAGTCGTTTGCCCTTGGCCCTGGGTCAACAACCGTTTTGACACTGTGAGAGCAATGATAACCCACATGCATCACTGCGCTTTGTATTATTACTGCAAACAGCAGAGCGTGTGGCCCCAGGGACGCAGCAGCTTTCTATGCGGTCTGGATTCTGGCCCCAGCTTTATTCCCACTACCTGTGTTAACTTGGACACACCCCATCCGCTCAGACACTCAGTTTCCTCATTTTCCAAGGGAAGGAGTTGGTATAAAATCTTGTTCTCTACAGCCATGCCAGCAAAACAAACACCTAAAATAATCCTTACATTGAGGGGTATCTGAGTCGACTTTGCTGTTCAGTGCACACTGCCAGCTTACTGAAGCTTTTTACATCCTGCCAGATTATCATCTCCATCGAAGCAAAAGGAGTGAAATCAGAATTCTGTGCCACAGAATCTTTTAACATCAGAGCCAGAGGAACGCTCAAAGAGCTTGCTACTACAAGGGTTCTCAAACTTCTGTTAGCCTGGAACCCTTTGTTCAAACAAACTCTGACATGGAAGCCCAAGCAGAAAACAATTAGACACACACTGGTTAGAAACCGGAGCCTAGAGAGAGGAAGCCAGCTGTCCTGTGTCACTCAGTAGGAGAGGGGCAGAGTTGTCCCCTCCTGGGCCCATTCTCCAGGAATGACACCAAGCCCGCAGCTTCCCAAGACATGCGGAAACTCAGAATCATAAGAAAGAGCTATGTGTGGGAAACTAGGATTTGAACCCAGGGCTTTGCAACTAAAAAGTGCATATACTGACCTTCCTGAGGGATAGAAGTTGATTCAGCATTCATTCATTCATTCATTCATTCAAATCTCTATTGAGTCCCAAGTATACTCCAGGCATTGTTCTAGTCCCATACAGCTGGGAATGAGGCACCCGTCCTCACTGAACCTAGATGTGAGCGGAGGGGACAGATAGAAACAGGCGACACCTGACAAGAAGAAAAATACAGCGGAGGAAAGGGATAGAGACTGACAGAGTGAGGGGGTGCAGGGGCACCTCTACTGGTCAAGAATGATGCTTGCTTCTCAGAGTGGTTTGCATGCCCGCCCCTGAACTGTTGGTTTCTAGTCTGCAACAAGATCCAAGAAATACTTCTTCCATGTTCCTGTACTTACAGGACAAACAGTGCCTGGCCACCCTTGGAACAACGCTGGTCTAAGATCTCTCTGAACCACTAGGTCAGTGTTGTGTATTGGTTTGTTAGGATTTCGAATCTACTTGTTTATGACGAGCGAAGTTGTTTTGATGGAAGGGTCAATTTGTTTGCATTGGGGAGGCCGTGTCAGGATGATGTCATCAAAATGGTGCTACTGAGTGCTTGTCAATAGTGAACGCTTGGAAGAGCAACTCTGACGTAATGGACATTTAAACTTTAAATGCCAAGATTTTGTGAGGACTTAGTAAGAGTGTTTGGCCTAGGCAAGGCTACTCTGCTGGCAGTGGTGAAAACCATACAACCATCCAGGAGGAGGCCATCTTGCCCGCCAACACCTGCGCCTGCGTTCCTCCAGCATCTTGCTCTAGCATCAGGGGACTTTCAATGAGCGCTGACAGCTCTTGGTTGGCTAAGCCGGCTCCTCTGAGAACCAGCTCACAGAAAGGTACACCTCAACTCAGTTTGGACTTGATTTCTTTCATCTCCCCTTTGCCTGAGACAATAGTGTCATTAATCTGTCACTGGTTTGGAGTATCTTATTTCTTTAGTGGCTTATTAAGAGACATTATCCTGTATGCTATTGGCTTGTGAAATATTATTAAAGATTATAATCTCCACAGTGAACCTGTGTTAAATAAATTACTGGCAAAGACCATCTCAGTCTCTGAGCATAATTTTGCTGCACAGTCAGTTCAGCTGATGAGTGTACTCCCTGTCCTGGGACCCTTTCGTCCCCATCTCCTCACTCCCACCTTCCTGCCATACTGCATAGGCCCCAGGGAACTGTATGTATGTTTGCATGTGTGCATGAACATGTGTGTGCATGTGTGTGTGCATGAATGTCTATGCATGCATAAGCATGTGAGCGCGTGTGTTTGCATATGTGTGTGCATGAGCATGTGGTACACGTGTGTGTGTGTGTGTGTGTGTGTGTGTGTGTGTGAGATAGCCACCTCCTCCACCACTGTTGGAGAGCCCCTCCCGGGACCCACCGAGGCCAGGGACACTGACGGCCTTTCTGGATCTCTCACCAGATTGCCAAGGGATCATTGAGGACGTCGTCCTGCTGGGTGCGCCCGTGGAAGGAGAGGCCAAGCACTGGGAGCCTTTCCGGAAGGTGGTATCCGGGAGGATCGTCAACGGCTACTGCAGGTCTGTCCAAACCCAGGCCAGTGGGAAGGTGACCCTTACTGAGCACCTAGTGTGCCCAGGCCCCGTGCTGGGGACTCAGATGTGTGAGGCCTGGCCCCTGTCCTGGAGGATCCCAGGAACTGGAGGGCACTGGCCTGGGAAGTCTCCATCCCTATAGGATGAAGATCTTGAAAAAGGTGTCCCTGTGTCAGGGATGGCAGAGAGGCTGGGCTTGTCACCATGATCTGGGGGAAGGGGGACATGGGTGAGTGGGACATAGACTGAGAAACAAAGATTAGGCCTCAAGTGGGAGGTCTTTAATGCCGACTAGGAGCTCCGATGTGCGTTAATTGGCAGTGCAGGAGGGGGCTGGAGGTGGGTCTAGGCTGAGCTCTCAGGGCACGGTTTCAGGGTGGGCCAGGGTGACAGAACAGGAAGGTGACAGTGATGGGGGAGCCAGTACCCACACCATGCTACAGACCTCCAGCAAGAGGTGGGGGGCCTGCCACGGATGACAGCTATGGGCTAGAAAGGAGGCTGCCCTGGCTTAGGGTTTGAGACGAGGACCTGAAGGGTTTCAGCCAAGGCTGTGCCCAAGACTTTTGGGAAGAAGAGCGATGAAGTCCACCTCTAAGACCTCAGAAGATTGGCCTGAGAAGGTGCCCTGGGTCCATCAGCCTCCAAATAAAGAAAAGAATGGGACGACAGTGTTTAAAAGCTTACGATTTGGAATTGCACAGACCTAGGTCCCCTTGCTGGCCTCAGTTTCTTCATCAGTCAAGGAGGAATAATACTAGTGACTCCCTGCAGGATTGCGACGACGGTTAAACACTTTACAGAGTTGTACATGGTTCATACATAAGATGATATTACTATTTATCAGCAGCAGCAGCAGAAGCCACTTGGGATAGTCATTCAACAGACTTTGGGGGAGCAGGAACCTCAAGGCAGGCACCACACTGGGGCTACAACAGGGAACAGCCCCAGCCCCATGGAGCTTAGCGTCCGGCAGGGGAAATAGGTAAACGAGCAGCTCCTCAGACAAGAAGCTTGTCTGCAACACCAAAGCCCAGAAGCTCTAAAACCAAAGGCTTTTCCCCAGGTGTAGTGCAAACTCATTTAGTGACAAACTTGCTCTGAGCTGTTTTTGTTGTGACTATCTCCTTTAATCCTCCCCAAAACCCTATGGTGTTAGTATTATTAATCCCATTTCACAAGTGAGGAAATGGAGGCTCAGAGAGGTTAAGTCAAGAGGCCAGTTAACTTTAATTTCTACCTAAGCCCAACCATCCTAAGTAGGACCCAAAACTGAATGGAACAGATTTGGGGAAGTCCCTATCATTTTGATGATTTAGCCCACAGCAATAGCTGTGTAGTTCAGAGCTAAAGATAACGATGGCTTTTAGCCATGGGGAGAGAGCATTAAGCAGGGCACAGGAATTCAGCCGATCACTTTGTCTCTATCACTCATTCTCTAAGCTGAGTTCTTAGAATCAGGATATGGTACAAAGAACAAAGGAACAAAAGACGAAGAGCTATCACATAGAAAGAGCTCATGCAAATCAATAAGGAAAAATAGACAATAAGAAAATGGCCGAAGGATATCTACACACAAGCTCACGGAATAAGTACAAATACTCAATAAGCTTTTGAAAACATGCCCAACCTCATCATTAATGAAATAAATGCAGATTCAAATCAATAAGATACTATTTATCAGCCATGAGATGATCAAACCTTTGAAAATGAATAACATTCGGTGTTGGTGAAGGTGTGAAGAAATGAGCACTGTCATTCATGCACTGTTGGTGGCAGTTGAATTTTGTAAACTCTTTTTGGAGAACAATTAGCAGTATCTATCAAAAAAAAAATTTTTTTTTAGCTGAGCCATCCTGCCACCTGTTGGCAGCTCAGCGGCAGCTCAGCTCGGGCTGGGACTCGAACCGCTGTTGCTCAGAGCTCACAATTGAGCAAGCTCTGAACCAACTGAGCCACTCAGCTGGCCCTCTATCAAAATTTTTTAATGTGCCAATTTTCTAACCCCACAAATTTTGACTCCTAATATCCTAATATCCTAGATATTCACACATATACACAGAGAGGGGTATACAAAGGGGAGAATGGCAGTTTCATTTACAATTAAAAATGTAAAACAACCTAAATGACCATAAATAGGGTACTAGTTCAAGGAAGGAAAAGCACATGCAACAATATATACTGTGATCCCGTTTATGAGGGAAAAAATGTGCATATATCTACCTATATATATGTCTGTCAGTGCACAGGAAAGTTCAGAGCATCACAAGAAACTGGCCACCCCTAAGAAATGGACAGGCACTGGAAGTAGGGCATATAAGAGACTTTAATTTGATGAGGGGTTTTTAAGTAAGGTTAGTTTTAAAACAATAAAAGGAAAAGAATGCACCAACCTTTGATGTGAGGCAGTCCTTGGTTAAAATCTTGTCTCCACCGTTTACTGATTGCCTAGCTTGGGACAAACCACTCTGACTCTCAGAATTCCCACCTATAAAATGGGAATAATACTCCCTCCTCCCCGGGGGTTCTAGGAAAATTAAAACAAGATTATGTAGGGAATGGGGTGGCACTTAGTAGGTGCCCAATAAGTGACAGCAGTTATAATTACTACTCTGGACACATTCACATCGCACGTGATTTTTGGTGCTTTTCATTAACAGCAAGGGACAGAATTAAAATTGCATGTGTGCAATATGAAAGCAGCAAAATCTTATTAAACCCATTTGTTCTACTGAGAACCTGAGGCTAATAAGCTTGCTTTTCAACTATTTTGTGAGATCCTGGGCTATCTCTCTAGAGAGAGAAAGGAGGAAGAGGAGGAGAAAGGAGAGAAAAGGGAAGGAATGTAACAAGCCAAAACAAAAACTGTAGTTTCTTGGTTAAAGTAGGCACTAACCAGCCATTTATATTCTTGGCTCACGAAGGCATTTTAGTTGCTACGAACCTACTTAAACGTGGCGTGTGGGGGTGGGGAGAGCTTCAGGCCAACACTGCCCAACTATATGCACTTACAAATTTATAATGTACGTTAATAAAACTCTTTGCAAATCCCTTCACTTACCTGGGCTTTCACGAACCCCCGGAAGCTAGCCACATCAAGTGGTACTGCTCCCTGTTGTGCAGTGAGGAGACTGGAGCTCAGAGAGGGTCCAGTGCCTCACCAAGGTCACACAGCAGAGCCAGGATATGAACTCAGGCAGACCTGTCTCACTCCACGATGAGAGGGCTTCATTCTGAGCCACCTCTGTGTGAGGAGGGGATGATGGTAGAAAGAGGAGCAGGAAGGACCCCTGCCCACAAGTACATCCAGGTCTGTGAGTAGCCAAGGAACGCCCTTCAACAGGCCAGGTGATGGCAAACCAAGGTTCCAGTTGTGTGATTCGTGCATCAGCATTGGCTCCAGGGCCGTGGAAGCTTGACTTGCTGGGCCCCACTCCAGGGAGTTCCTGATTCGGCTCAGGATACAGGACTAAGGCACAGTCCTGCCCCCAATGAGCTCTCTGCCTAGAAAAGGAAAACGACCCAGGAATGGACACAGGGAGGATATGTAACGAACGTCACGGAGCAGGTACCAAGCACATGAGGGTGTGAAGGAATGATATCAGATGGAGAGGCTCAGGGGCACTCCCTGGGGCAGGAGACGTTCCAGCCGAATTTTGAGATGATGGATAGAAGCCCATCAGAGAGGGGAGGAGTCCGCCGAGCAAAAGAGGCCAAATGCACACAAAGGCCCAGAGCAGGAAGTGTCGTTGTACCCGATGCTTCCTGCGTGCTCGTGTATGAGCGCTGCCCACGGTGTGCCATCTCAGTGCACGCTCCCGCCCACCCTGAGAGGTAAGGTACAGTGAGGAGACAGCGTCGGCGGGGACAAGCACCTTGCCCAGGGTCACGCAGCTAGAAATTGACAAGGCGGGACTTGAACCTGGCTCTGCATGGGCTCACGGCCCACCCTAGGCAAGAAAGACAGATGAAGGGTGCTGAATGCCAGCGTGGTTTGCCCAGCACAGTATAGAGGATACGGGGACCTTCTAATGTATGTTTCTGTTCTGTCCCTAGACGTTTATAAACAAGTACAATGAGCATTTTCAGTAGAGTGTTGTCATAATTAAATGACTTAGAAGAACAGTGCTGACTTTGCTTGTTTATGACTATCTATATCAGAGATCTTTACGGAGCACTCTTGTATCCAATGTTTGATGCACATAACTCTATGATTAGTTCAGTAAAACAGCTGAAGCTAACCTCTCTTCTTCTCCCCTTGGCCATCCGTTCTTAGAGACGGTGCTTCTTGGGCCCTCGATATTAAGATGATTATTGGGACTTGCAAGCACTGCTGTCTGGAGAGAGTTAAGGCATTTTCTAGAAGAGAAAGCCTGTAGGCAGTGGGGAGTCATGGTCGGCTTCTAAGAGCGGGGGCCATGGTCGGATGAGTGTCTAAGAAAGGCCATGGTGGCTGGAGGGAGGTGAGGCCAGGGCAGGGAGAGTGAGGAGGCAGCCACTGCATTTCTGTCGGGGGGTTAAGGGAATGCCTGATCTCAGGGCTGGAGCAGAAAGGCTGGGTGTGGGGAGGGACGGGTAGTAAGAATCAGCAGGACTTCGTGGCAAGTTGGCCACAGGGGACAGGGTTGCCTAAGACACTGCTCTGCTGGTTTCTGGTCCTTGAAGAATGGGTGATGATAATGGAGGAGTCAGGGGCTGATGAGCTCAGTTTGGGACACAGCAGGAAGGTCTGTAGCAGACTACTCAACTCTGGGCCCCAGTTCTCCTAGGGGCTTCATGGGTGTTAACCACACAGGCACCCATGCGGAAAGAGACCACCACAGAGGGAACCTGGAGGGGCCGCCACACCCTGGGGTCCAGAGAGCCTGGGGGACTTGCCTGTGGCCACATAGCAGATCTCATGGGCAGGGCGGGGCCTCCTGACTCTCAGCCATTCTCCCTCTACCCTGCAACGAGGGAGGGCCCTTCTTTCCAACAAGCACCCAGAAATAGTGGGCTCGAGTTACCAGGCAAACCAGGGTTGGAATTGGTCTAAATGGAAGACAGCCAGATGTGCTAAGCTGGACTTAAGTCCTGGGGGCAGAAGGGGGCACAGAAATGTTTGCATGGAAGGACTTCCTGAGTGGCGAGGCCCAAGTGCGTGGCCCTTGGCCAGCCCAGCTTAACGCAAGACGAAGTTCAGGGATTTGAGAGGGACGGCTGTGTCACAGACCTCCATGGACAGTGCTCACTGCACGCAAAGAAGCAGGCAGCAGAGAGTCCAGGGTTGTTTTCTCTCGAGGGTGTAAGGGGGTGGGGATACAGGGCGTGGGGTTCACAGCACCCATGAAAGCGGAGGAGTGTTCCCAGGGCTTGTGACCTGCCTGGGTGGCCACCCTCGCCTCTTCCGAGATGGCCAAGGGCAGGGAGACCTACGGGCTGAACAAGGTCTAAGAGAGACACAGCTGCTCCCTCCAGCTCACAGACAGATGAGGAACCTAGACCCAGAGTTCCACCCTGCAGGGCATGGCTCTCTCCCCCAGGAGGACCCTGCTGCCTTTCTCTCTTTTTTTCCAGGGAGCCCTGGGAACTGGGGACTCCTCCAATCTGAGAGCAGCTCCCCTGCGCAACGTGCTCACTTGTCGAGAACGACATCCAGCTTCCTCAACCACTCATTCAACAGACATTCCTCTATTGCCTGCCAGGCACTGTTCTCAGCTCTGGGGACCCAGCGGGGAACAAAGCAGACAGCCTCCAGGGAGCTCCCAGGCCCCGCTGCTGGCGCAGTCAGGGCCCTGATTTCCCACAGAAGCACCAGTCCCACCAGGCCTCCCCAGGGCCAGACAGGGTGCATCCCTGTCCCGGGGCTTCCCTGAGGCTGATGCTCACCCCCTTCTCTGCCCGCAGGGGGGACTGGCTACTGAGCTTCGTGTACCGCACGTCCTCAGTGCAGCTGCGCGTGGCTGGCCTGCAGCCAGTGGAGCTACAGGACAAGAGGATGGAGAATGTGGACCTGTCCTCTGTCGTGAGTACCGCCCGTCCCTCCCGGGGCGCTGGGTTCCCAGTGGGGCCGATTCATTACTGCAGCTCAGCAAGGCCCACCCGTGGAGCCCAGCCCCAGCCCACTTCACCCAGAGGAGGGGGATCAGAACGTGCTTGGGAAGCGGTAACACCTACTTATGGCGCCATCCTTGTGCCCGGGTTTTATCACCAAGCCCTTTACACATTATCTCTAATCCTCAAGCAGCCTCAGGCGGGTATTATTATCCCCATTTCACAGACCAGGACACTGAGGCTTAGGAAAGTTCCTATCATAACTGGTAATGAATAGCTTGCGTTTGAACCCCCAGAGCCCATGCTCTGGCCCCTACATTACTGACCCAGCCCTCCCCCCGCTCTTTCTCCCACTATCCCCACCCCCAGCTCTCCCACCCCAGATGACTAGTCAGGACAGCCTGTTTGTCCCAGAAGTAACCAGAGGACACAGGTGAAATGCAGAGCGGGAAACGTGTGTTCCAAGGACCGTGACCTTGGAAGCATCTGGGCAGTTTATTTAAAATGCAGATCCCTGGGCTCCCCTGCCCAGGCCTTCTAGATCCATCTCTAGGAATGGAACCTGTGAGTCTGCAATTAAACATATACCCCAAGGGCCGGCCGAGTAGCTCAGTTGGTTAAGAGCTCGCTCAAGAGTTTGAGCTCTGAGCAATAGTTCGATTCCTGGCCCGAGCTGAGCTGCTGCTGAGCTGCCAACAGATGGCAGGATGGCTCAGCTAAAAATAAAAAAACATATTCCCCAACGATGCTTAACATCTGTGACTAGGCTGGACTACAGGTGCAGACAGTTCAAAAGAATTCCTTCTGGTAATGGCGGGGAAGGGGGCCACCTGAGCAGCCATACACACCTAATATGAGTTTCTCGATGCACCTTTCAGGCTTGAAGGAACCTTGTCCACCTGTGCACAGCTATCATAAGGAGTTAATGGCTTCACGTATGGAAACTTTCAATGCCAGCTCTGCCCTGAGCCTTTTGCAGGCATTGGTATCCCCATTGTACAGATGAGCACACTGAGGCTCTGAGAGGCTAAGGGACTTGCCCAGGGTCACACAGCAGGAACATGGCAGAGCAGGACTCAAACCCAGGGGTGAAGCAGTGGGCATCGCCCCTGTTCAGGTAGACGTGAGAAACAGCAGGAGAGCTGCCTGCTACCAGGAGGGCGAGGGTAACAAGCTACAGTTACATCCACAAGCAGAGTCCAGCCCGTGATGCAAAGTGAGAATAAGAACTTTGGTTTCCAATTATTACATTCTTGGCCGTCATTTATCAAGTGCTTCCCAAGCGTAACCCAGTTTCCTCAAGTTCCACATGAGGAGAGTTGGAGCCGGCTGCACCATCCTGCCTGAAAGCAGATGAACCAGACCCCTCCCTGGGCGCCTGAAAATCCCCTGGGGGAGGGGCAGTCTGGAGGACTGGCTTCTCCCCTCAGCCTGCCCCAACGACCCCCCACTGCACTTTGATGGTGGATGAAGCTGCGTGCCTTGACCCCTCCCCTCCCAGCACAGCTGACACTGGGCTGCATGTTTATTGAAACTTGACTGGGGAAATTCTAGCACAAAAAACAAAACCAAAACTTGATCAGGCACTGCTGCGGCTGAAGCCCATGGGCCATGGCCTTGCCCGAGGTCCCCTGGGATTCTCACTCACCCTGCCACCATGTTGCTGGGGCCAACTCATCTGCACTTATATCTTTGTTCCCCCAAACTCCCTGGACCCTAGCAGACAAGTTCTAACCTGCCCGAGGAACACAAATGGAGCAGCCTGTGCCTTCCTAACTGGGGGCTTTGGGGCTGCTGGCGGCCCAAGAACAAGAGGAGTTTCTAGACTCATCCATGCATGAAACTGATCAGTCCTGGTTAAAGAGACAGGCTTCCCCGGACAGACATGAGCTCCTAGCCCCTGAGCCAGAGGAAGCCTTTAAGATCATCTTTATCCCTGATAGACTTGCTTCATATGATGTAAACCTCACAACAGCCCCCTGTAGTAGGTCGTAGGCATCCCAAGTCACAGACTGGAAAACTGAGACTTGAGAGGATGGACTCACGTAGCCGGAGAGTCATAGATCTGGACTCTGAAACCAGGTCCAGAGCCTGTGCTGTCCACCTCCCTGTGGGAGTGAGGTAAGCCAGGTAACAAGAACAGGAAACCACAGATAACAAGACTCAGAGCGATGCCTCCTGACCCATGTTCAGCCGTCTCTGTCCTATTTGAGGGTCCCGATACCTTCAAGGGAGAAGGGGAGAACTGACTTTGTGCCTCACCACCCCAAGAGTCTCCCTCTGCCAGAAGAATCAAACATGAAAAGGAATAGCTAAAAGTTCCTTTTAACTGAAAACCCCCTTTAAATGCCACAAAGCCCTTGCAAGATCTAATTTCTACCCCAGGAAGCCTGAATAGGATACACTGGGAAGAGCACAGCATTTGGTACCAGAGAGGCCTGGCCTAGAATCCTGGCTTGGCCACTGGTACACTGGCTGTGTGACCTTGGGTCGATTACTTAACCTCTCTGTGCCTCAATTCCTTCATCTATGAAATGGGGAGAATCACCTACTTTCCAGCCTATGTGAGATGCTTCCGCACAGTAGGCCCTCCTTTCATACTAGTTCCCTCCTCTCCTGCCTCTGCCACCACTTTCAGTTCTGCCTTTTGGACCAGCAGACTTCTCCTCCTGGGATGATTTCATGGCAGCTTCCCAGCTCTTGCCTAATAATAGCTCTTTATCACATTAGGAGCACATCACAAAAAGCAGTGCTTTCCTCTTTTGACTAATTAGAGTAATTAGCCTTGCCTTTGTACCACCCTTCTGTTTTCCTTGAAAATTCTTGCTGGAAGAGAAGTTGCTGGCAAACGAGTTTCCATTGCGGCTGTTGGGAGAAGCACTGGCTGCTCTGTGCTCGGAGCAGAGACTTACAGGATCCGGACACAGGCTGGGCCTTTTGGGAATTACCTCAGACGTCAGTCACCCTCTCCAAACATGGTCTGAGGTGGCTCCTGATCTCAGGACAAGCCTGAGCCAGGAATGAGTAAAGGACTGGCCCTGTCGCAGGTAGGGGCATCTCAGGGTGAATGAAACAGACAAAGCCAGGCTGCCTCCCAGTATGGGGACTGGGCTACAGCAGGCAGGGGACGCTGCCACCCCAGGGGCCAACTCATGAGGCTCCTGAGGGTCTCTGAACCCTTCATGTCCAAAGGAAATGCCAGCTGGCTTCTAGAACTTAGCACAGGCATGATATAAAATACACTCAGTATTAATAATGATAGCAGCATGTGCCAGGCACTGCTCTACATGCTTTGCAGATCTTATGTCATTTGATCCTCATAGCTGTATAGCTATCCCATGAAGTAGGGATAATAACCCCATTATACAGATGTATAAACTGAGGCTGCAGGAGGGGACACTGCACGTGAGTGATAGAGCCAGATGAACCCAGGGAGCCTACCGCAGAGCCCACATTCACACATCTCTGACTTTCGGTCAGTGACCTCTAATTCAAGACCAGGAAGCCTGTTCCATGTATTATCTCATTGAATCCTCGCAAGCATGGTGGAGGTGTCTATATTAGCCCCATTTTGTAGATAAGGAAACTGAGGCCCAAGCGGTAAAGGAACTCAAAGGGACCTGATAGGCTTGGAAGGAGTTGGGCAGCCGGTAATGTCCACCCTCCATGGAAAGACACTACCCCACCTTGACCTCTATTCTGAGCCCAGGGATCTAAAAAGCCCCTTATATATGTGCATACATGTGTGTATTTTCACTGAATACTGTTTAAAGGGGTTGTTAAAGGAACACAAAGTAGGCAGGTTCTGGTTATGAGAAAATAACAAAACTGTACAGGGAGCTATCTTTTTGTGTTCTTGAAAGATCATTTGAAACACCCAGTGTGATTTGTGATTCAAATGGAAATACAGATGTTACCAGATGGGCCTTTATATTGTTTTAGCCTCCCCAGTGTTTTCCTGTCTTCTTTTTAAACGAAAACCTTCCTCTCCGGCCTTGAAGGAATGTGCTTATCTTATATTTTGTTTGCCTTTGACACTAAAGCAGACCCCCTAGATTGGCTGGGAGGGCACGAAGCAGATCTGAGCTATGCAGCTTCTGCACACAGCATCTGAAGCAAGGCACATGGCTTTCCTCTTCACGTGCTGTGTTTCATTGAGCAATCCCCTACCCCTCTCTGGGCTTCACTTTCCTCCTCTGTAAAATGAGAATGATTTTTAGAATCTCCTCTCCCCGACTGATTTTCTGTTGAAGAAAATAGACCAAATTCTAATCACACCCCTACTTTTCATTCACTGACACATCCCAGCACAAAAATGGGGGTGTTTCTATTCTCAGAGGGAAAAGGTGGGCACTTCTGAGTTCTTGACCCTTGTCAGTGAAGATCCAGCTCCACATTACAGAGGCGTAGCTGAAGTGGCTTAAACGTACAAGAGTTGATGCTGTCATATAAGAAAAGGCCATACTAGGCAGTTCAGGACTAGTATGGTGGCTCCACAGTCTTCAGGGGCCAAAATTCCCTTATTCTTGCTCCTCTGCAAGCAAGCAAGTGGACTTAGTGAGCCAGCTTATGGCCCAAGATGGCTGCTCAAGCTCTGGCCATCATGTCTCAATTCCAGCCAGCAAGAAAAAGGAAATGCGGGCTGGCCGAGTGGCGCATTGGTTGAGAGCTGGTTTGGGACGCCAGAGGGCCCCGGTTCGGATCCCACATATGAGGGCCAGTGACACTGCTCTCTACAGCTAAGATGCTGAACAACAGCTCGACCTGGAGTTGGGTTGCTGTGAGTCGCCGGCGTAGGCTGCAGCCCCTGCTGCAGTGGGTTGCCATGGGCTACCGTATGTAGCCAGCAGCCAGCGTGAGCGGGCAGCAGCTGCTGTGAGTGGCTGTCCAGAAGCCGGCGACTGATCTGCCTCACCCGGGAAGAGCGCAATGATGGTGCCAACTTGGGCCAGTGAAGCAACGTCCTCCACAACTAGACTGAAGAACAAAACGACAGCAACTTGTCTGTTCCCCTACCCCCAATTCCCCAGCGCTGTTCCCATCCCCTAATTCCCCAATAAAAATCTTAAAAAAAAATAAAAATAAAAGGAAATGCAGGGAGAAGAAGAACACTGCCCCTTTTAAAGAGACTTCCTGGGAGCGCCACGTAACACTACTGCTTCATCTCATTGGCCAGAACTTGTCACAGCACTACACTTAGCTGCAAGGGAGGCTGGGGGATGTACCCAGCTATAAATTGGGAGACAGTGAACTGTAGATTCCCTGCAGTCCGTGCCACAGCTCTATTTTCAATTTCGGGGCCTCACCGAGGGGAACCTTCACAACAGCACTCTGATGTAGCTACTCTTATTGTCCCCATTTTACAGCTGAGGCAAGTGGAGGTCAGAGGGCTAAAGCAGCTTGCTCAAGGCCCCAGAGCTGGTGAGCAGCACAGCTGTTCTGCTGTAACTTGCAGGCTCTGCAGGCCAAGAATGAGAACTGCCACTCCAACTTCTATTGGGAGATTCCCTCCTGCCCCCAGAGGACCCAGGTTCTATAGAGAAACTTCCTTCACCTTTATTTAATGAGTTCTAGAGCAGCCTTGAACCTAGAGACTTCCCACCCCACTCTGGATTTTAGATTCATGGAGAGTTGGAGTCATGGCATTGGTGACTGAGGGAGAAGGTGAGGCCCAGGAGCTTAGCTTGGGGCCCTGAGGAGGCCAGGCTCTGCCCACCCACCGGGACCCTCACTCACTGTCTTCCTGCAGGTCAGTGGCCACCTGGACTATGCCAAGCAGATGGACGTCATCCTGAAGGCCGTGGGCATCCACACCAAGCCAGGCTGGGAAGAAAAGGGGCTCCTGCTGGCCTCCAGCAGCCTGCCCCAAGAGGAGCCTCGCCAAGCAGCAGCTGCCTCCTTCTCAGACAAGACCACTGACCAGGATGGGCAAGCCCAGGGTCCGGCACCCGGAGACACCCCCAAAGTGGCCACATCCTCTGACCCCAGCCAAGCCCAGGTGCCAACAGAGCTGGACCAATCTGATGGTGCCTCCCTTCCTGCTGCTGCCAGCCCTGCTGAGAGGCCCCAGATCTGCAGCCATGGTGTGCAGCCCAACCCACTGGGCTGTCCCACCTGTGCCAGCGAGAACCAGGAGTCCTGCCCAGGGTTGGAATGACCCCAAATGGGGACTTGAGCCGTCTTCCCAAATTTCCATATGCAGCGCTCTCTTACCCCCTCCATCAGGCTCCCTGCATGAGCTCTGAAGAAGTTCCACCAGTGCCTTTCCTAAATTGAAGGCTTTGGGATTCAAAACCAAGGAATTGAAAAGAGAGAGAATCAGGGAGACCGTGGTCCCTCTCTGGGGAAGCGAGGCCAGAGCCTGCAAAGTCAACCAGGCACAATGGAGAGCCTCAGGACTACCAGCCGTGGGCCTCCAGTACTTCAGGTCGCAGCTGTGAGGTCTGGCTGTCCATCTGGAGGTCCAGGAGGGCTCTCTGGGGCCTGAGGCTCCCACCCGCCACTCTCCCCTGGCCTCAGGAAAGCCAGGTGTCTGCCTGCTCTTTCATCCACTGTAGGGCTGCCCATCAGCCCATAGGCACCACCAACGCACATACAGGGTAAGCGCAAGTGGGGAGCGGATGCAGGTGGGGAGCAGGCAGCTCACTCTCTGCCCTTAGGAGATCCGATCAGATCTGCCACACACAGCCATGCAAGCTGTGCACTGCACAACTAGAGGTAGCAGTCACACAGACGTGACATGGGGGGGGGCATCCCCCAAAGTTGTGCTACATGGTGGCCCTGGATGTAATTGTAATAGGGCATAGTAAGTAAATGCTGAATCTGTGTGCGGTATGGGTGGGAACTGGGCCTGGGGCAGGAATGAATTACATGTTCCTGTAGCAGGAACAGAGGTAATGAAGATTATGAAAATAAAGAATAATAATAGATACTACTTACTATTTACCATGTATGGAATGCTTACATGGAGTGTCTCAGTTGACCCTCACAACAACCCTATGAGGTAGCTACTATTATTGTCTTCATTTTACACCTGCAGATATTGAGGCCCAGAGAGGGTAGGTAACCTGTTCAAGGTCACACAGCTGGTCAGTCTCAAACTCCAGCCAGTCAGCCTCCAGAGCCCAAGCTCTTAGCTATTGTGTCTGCATCCGTGGGAACCTTCCCCTTTGTTCCTCCCACTGTCCCAGGGTCAGAGAGAATCCCCCCCCACCACCCATTGTGCAGATGGGGAAATCAAGACCTAAGCAAAAAAAGTATTAAGCTCTGGAGGAGCCAGGGGGAAGAGGAGAGGAGGAGGAATTAGAGTGTTGGAGCTGAGCTGGTCCTTGGGGGTATGTATATTGGTTTGTTCCTTCAACAAATATTTACAGAACTTCTGCTACTATTAGTCCAAACAACCCATGTCACCCATGGAAAGCTAAAGCCCTGAGAGGGAAAATGTCTTTGCTGAGGTCCCAGAGCAAATTAGGGGCCGAGTCTGGACCAGAATCCAGACACCTGTGCCCAGGGTCGCTTGCCACTTCACCAGCTGCTTCCCAATCTGAGCGGTCCCCCAAGCAAATCCAGTCCACTCCACAGTCACTACTTTCAGGAAGCCAGTGTTTATTGAGAGTCCACTCAGGCAGGCCTGGGGGCAGAACGGAAGCCCCAACAAGCACCGTGACTCCTCTATGGCCAGCAGCCAGGGCCGGAGTCGAGTCTAATCAGCACCAAGGAGAGCGCCAGGCCACGCGTGGAGTTTGGGCTGATGGAACTTGGGGGGAGTGTAAGGAAGACCTCAGACTGACAAGGAACCTACAGCAGGTGAACTGTAGGAACTGAGTACCCCGTCAAAAAATAAATTAAAAAGCAGACCCCTGTACCAGGGTTCACCTGCCTGCCCGAGGGCACCAACCCACACTAGAGACATCTCCTCTTCAACTCTACTGACCCAAGTGCCACTACTTCCATTTCCCTCAGGGACCCAGGGAAGGCCAGAAGGAGGTGGGGCAAGGGGCCGGTTCTGTCCCCCTCGGCTGGTTCCCTTCTAGGTCGAAGGAAGCCCAAGGCAGAGGAATACCCATCCCAGATGTTGAGCCAGAAACCAGTAGTCGCCTCTTTGCCCCTGGAAAGGCAATGCAGCAGCCTGGGTGCTGGGGTGGGGCTGAAAAAGATTAAAAAATAATGGGAACAAATAGCCATTCTCCGCCCATAGCCAGAGGCCAGGGGGCTGGATGTCCAGGTGTTATAACAACAGCGGGACCTATGACGTCCTGTGAGGCAGGCATTGTTACCACATGCTGCAGGTGGGATGACAGGCTCAGAGAGGTTACATAACCTGCGCAAGAGTTAGAAAATAGTAGCACAGAGATTCAAACTTATGCCTGCCTGACTCCCAGGTTCATGGGTTTTCTGTGAGGCCACCGACATCCTGAGGGGCTGGCTGGTCCAAAAACTGTCCAGCAAACCATCCTCAGGGTAAAGATCATCTAAACCAGCACATCTCAAACAAATGTGCACACAAGTCACCAGGGACCTTGCTAACACTCAGATTCTGACTCCGCAGGTCTGGGGTGGGGAAAGAGGTGTGCATTTTTAACACACTCCCAGGAGGTGAAAGCCCACAAACTACACTTAGATAAGCAAGGGATCCAACACTGTGCTAATCCATCTCTGCAGACGGAGGCATCCCTCCTAGGCAATCTGATAGAATATGCAAAAGAGATGATTGTCTTCTTTCTAATCTGAACCAAGAGGTCTTTTGCCCCATTCCTAGAGCCCTCCAACCATCCTCTATACACAGCCACAAGTTACACTCAGCAATGGTGCATCCTGGAGAAAACTAACAGAGCCAGCTGTTATCCCTCAAGTGGGGGATCTGGGGTGGGCACGGGGGGCTGATTCAGTGCACCGCAGTGGAACTCAGAGGGCTCCCAGGAGATCTGCAGTCTCCTGGCCTCAGCCAAGAGCTGGCCCAAGGCCTTGGGGACTTGCTTCCACCCAGTCCGGCTGCCCGGTGACGAGCTCCAAACCCGGATCAGTTCGTGGGGGCACCAAGCGGATGGAGCCGCAGCTTGGGCTCCACAGGATCAATGTTGAAGAAGTTGACCACAGCAGAAGTCCTGGCAGATGGCGGGGGGTCCCGGGCGGGCTCTCCCGGCAGCAGCAGCTGGGCTGTGAGCTGCAGGCCTGAGGAGCCTCCCGAGCCTGGATCAGAGTCCGAGTCAGAGTCCGGGGGCAGGGACAGGGGCAGCACGTGCTGCAAGCTTAGGCCCGGCCGGGGGCCACTGTGAGAGGTACGCATGGAGGGTGAGGCCAGGCTGGCCCGGTGCTCCTGGGGACAGTGGGGACACAAAAGGAGCCTGCCCAGGGCCCGCTTGAAGTCCCGCATGAAGAGTGGGTAGATGATGGGGTTCATGGTGCTGTTACAGTAACCCAGCCATGTGAGGACATCGAAGAGGCCTGGGGAGATGCAGTCGCACACAGCCTGGAGGGATGGAGGAGGTCACGCCTGGTCCCGGGGAGGGACACAGACCACCCCACCCAGCACGTCTGGGACAGACACACACAAACACATACACCAGGAGAGGCAGCCCAACCTCCTCCCTCTCCGTGTCTGGGCTGGGGCGGGGGGGCTCAGGGCCTCCCCAGCAAGGCTTGGACTCACCTGCCCCCCGCAGTGGCATTACCTGGGCTATGTTGGCCACAAAGAACGGCAGCCAGGTCACGAAGAACATGCCCAGCAGAATGCCTAGTGTCAGGCTGGCCTTCAAGGCCTTCCTGCTGTGCTTGGTGGCCAGCCGCCTGCTGTCAGCCGACTCCACCCCTGGGCGTGGGGTCCTGGGCACCTGGAGAAAGAAAGGCCATGTGAGTCAGCTGCGAAAGAGTCCCAGTCTGACTCTGATCCCAGCCACAGACTGAGCCTCAGTCCTAATTCTAGACTGAACCCTAATACCAGCAATAAACTGTGCCCTGACCCTTGACTGAACCCCAACTGTCCTAGACTGAGGCCTGACCCAGACTCCAAACCAACTCCTGCTCACTGTCCTAGACTGACCCCTGATATAATACCTACCATAGATTGAGCCCTATTTTACCAAGGTCTCAAACTGAGCCTCAACCCTGGACCCGTCTGAGCCAACCTTAACCCCAGACTGTGCCCTGACCCAGCGGTAGACTGACCCCTGATCCTGACCCAGGACTTCACAAGGAGCTCTAGGAAATGCAGTGAAATAGGGCAACGCTGCTCCAAACACACATCAGACAGTTCAGAAGACTCCACCCTTCATGCAAAGGACAACTCTATACGGGCCAACACACACAACTGAGCACCTCCCAAAGCCTTCAGCACTGCAAGGATTAGCTGCACTTAAAAAGTACTTGACCAAAGAGGCCCTGTTACTGTCCAGGGCTCGGCAATCTCTCCGTATATGGGTTCTCTTCATATTTTGGAGTAACAGTTTTGCTTGCATTGTTACCCTCACACTCCACAAAATAAAGTGTTAAAAAAAAGTGCACAGAGCAAATGTTTACAATGAAATCTATTATAAATTACTAGGGGTGCTAGTGACCTTGGCATTTTACAGCTCAGATGATGCTGTGGACTGGCAGATGTCTCCATTCCCAAACATACATTTCAAGAGCAGGGGTGTAGGGGAGAGAGAGAGGAAAAAGGAGCAGCCATTGAATGGTGGACATGGGGATGAGGAGGTTAGGATCTGACTTTGCACATTGCAGACTGGCAGTCGCAAAACATGAAAAGACTCTGAACCAGATGATCCTTTAGTCCAGCAGTAACTTTTTTAACCTCATGAGCCCATTAGAGATCTAATGAAATCTACAAGTCTGATCCCCAGAAAACTAAAAGCTTATACATTTTTACACACACACACACACACACACACACACACAAATCCCCACATTTCCAGAGTGTTCTGAGACCACCATGAACCTCTAGGGGTCCATGAAAGCTGAGATGTGAAGTTCTCCTCTAAACCATGCATTGTAAACAATTTGGATTTTCATACATGAGGTTTACACAAAGTGAGACCCACCTATATTCAGAATTTAAGTAAAAATCAGTGTGCAGAGGTGTGCACAATTCATTGAGCTATGTAAAGGGTGTAGGTGCTGCCAGGGAACACACCTGGGCTTTGAAAGCCAGGAATTCCCCCCCAACATGTCCTAAACCGCACGAGAGAGCCCAGTTCAGTTCATGAAGCACAGTGATGGGTAGGGAAGAGAGAGACGAAAGAGTCAGAAGGAGGCAGGAAGGGAACCCGATTCCCTGGCAACCTTCGCAGATGGAAAGGGGGTGGAAGAGGCACAGCTAAGATGTGTCAGTCCCAGAGAGCACCAAAGCCACCCCCGAACCCCGCTCTCAGGTGCACGAGCTCCCCTCCAGCAGCCCTGTTCTTCCCATCCACCTTCTCAGAGTAGCCCGAATTGGTTCTTGTCCATGGTGCTGAAACGCCAGCTCCATACTATTTTTCTATAGGATCAGGAGGTCTAATTCTGGAATGGTGGGCAGGAGACGGGATATGAAGCACACTGTAACTCCCACCCCTCAGTGTGTTTGCCCAGGTGAAGTCTGCTTATATGAATATCAAAGGCAAATTCACAAAAGCAGCCACAGCGAGGATCTTGCTCTCTCCCCTCTGTCTTGGTGGGGCGGCTTTGGGCAGAAGCAAGTGATCTGACTTCAAATCATGCCTCTACCACTTACTCGCTCTGTGATCTTGAGCCAGCCTCTGTGCCCACATCTGTTAAGTGGGAGAAACAATACTCAGCTTACGGAGTCGCTGTGAGGCTGTGGATAATAAATGCGCGCACTATCCAACACAGAGTAAGTGCTCAATGCATGGTAGCCCTGAATCAGCCATGGAGTGTGTATGAGCCTGGAGAAATTTTAGCCCCCTCGGGAGCCCTGTCCTCCTGCCAGCAGCTCTGGCTCCCTAGAGCAGCACAGACATCAGGACAAATGCTCTGACTCACCATGCTGTAGCCAGGGAGGGAAACAGGATCTGCTTTCTCTTTTTTCTTGTCATTTTCTCTCCTCCAGAGTGGTCTCCATATGGTTTCTGTGGCCCCATCATGGTCAGCCTGAAGGAGAAGTTTCTGCTTCTCCAAAATAATCTCCTAAGATCTGCCATGGCTTTGAATTTCTGCCATCAATGGGGACAGAAAATAGGGTGGGGGGGCACTGTCTCCAGGAGACCCCGCCCATGCAAGTACCCCTCTGACCCCTGATGACCTGGGAGGGGGAAGCCACGAGACAGCCTTGATCTTGTCAGAGCTCCAGAGCACCAGGGAGCTGAGACACTTGGGGAGATATCTTGGGGGCAATCAGCAGGGGAGGGGACTCCAGAGATGGAGTTAAAGATAATCTGAGGCTCCCTCTCTAATCTTCCTGGGAGCAAGCCCGAGTTTTCTTTCACCTCTTCTCCCCAAAAAGTTGACCCAAGAACACAGGCAAAAGAAAGAGAGAAGGAAACGGAGGCTCAGAAAAAGTAGGGGACCTTCCCAAGGTTATATTGTGTCAGTACAAAGCCTCAAACCAAAATACCAGTGACCCTAAATCAGCACGATGATCCCCATTTACTGAGCACTTACTATGCACCAGCATTTGATATTCCTTATGCCACTCAATCTTTATGGGAAGTGGGTATTCTCTCCATTCTCTCCATTTGACAAGATTCAGAGAAGTAAAATAACGTGCCAGGAGTCAACAGCAGATAAGTGTTGAGTCAGGAATTCATGGTCATTTCTGGCTCCAGAAACTGCAATTCTTCCAGCCCACCATGCTGCTTCTACTTGGGCCAATGGCATCCATGGGCCACAGTCAGAGAGGGGTTATAGAAACCCCACTAATGTCACTGAGAGGCCTTCATGGACCAGAAGCCAAGGGTAACCACCAGCCCACACCCTGGGATCTGGTTGGTGCCAATTTCCCCCTCCCACTCCTCTCTGCCCCACAGTCACCCCACGGTCTTTCATGGCCACATTCTGTTGTTTGCATGTCCCTTATACACGTCCATGACATGTGTCACTGTCAGAGGACAGCCACCTGGAGGACAATATGGCAGTGCCCTTCCAGGAGGCAATTCCACTTACGGGTTCCTATGTTCATAAACACCTGTACACACATCTGTACACTCAGCATATACAAAAATGTGTACCACATCACTATTACGATAGGAACAAATTGGAAATGGCCTAAATCTCCATCCAAAGGACAGTGGTTAAATACACCATGGGACATCCCACTGCAGAATACTACACAGGTGTTTAAAAGACTAAATCGATCAAATGGAAAGATTTCCAAGACGCTTTAAGTGATAGTGGCAAGTTGCAAAACAACACAGCAGGATTCCATTTGTTTAAGAAAATGCACAAAACACTAAATTTCTTTAGGTACATAAACAAATATGTAAACAGAAAAAAGACTAGATAGCCATACCCTAAATTAATGAGTGTCCCTGGCAGTAGAAGGTGATTGGATGGAAGTCGGAGGGGTCTTCTACTTTATCTCTGTATTTGGATTTTTATTTTAAAATGTATCTATGTAGTCCCTTGTGGAATTTAAATTATTTATGATCATCTAATTGTTCCATGAGGATTACAAGGCAGGCCCTGGAGCCAGACTACCTGGTTTCAAATCATGGTTCTGTTACTAACTAGCTGAATGACCTTTGGCAAGGTACTTCACCTCTCTGAGCCTCAGTTTTCTCACCTGCAAAATGGCAGTCATAATGGCATCTACCCCATAGGGTTGTAGTAAGGGTTAAATAAGATAACATACAGAGAGTTACTCGATCCGTGCCTGGCACGTATAGGTACCGTGTACGTGTTAGCTATACTGCTGTTGATGTTACAAGTGCCCAGCTTAGCTCTTTGACAATGGTGATGATGCCACTGGTGGCAGCAATGGTGTTGTTTTTTTCCCCTAGAAAGGCCCAAAAGGGGTGAGCTCCTAGAACCATATGTTTTACCACAAGGGGAAAAGAGAGGAACATTTGTTGAGCACTTACTAAGTGCCAGGTTCACATATATTATCTCTTTGGTTCTTCAAACAGCCTCAAGTGATAAGCAGTATTACCCCTGGAGTAGAGGGAGGTGAAGGACTTGTCATAATTCATCCGGATGCGATGGAAAAGAGGCAGGATTTGAACCCATGGCCAGCCAGACACACAAGCTCCTGTACCCGGCCCTGGCAGCACCAGGTCGCCTCATTCCCAGCAGCAGACAAGCCTGCCATGCTCCACACTGCTCCTCCATCAGCCTCTCCCCGGTTTGGCCCCCTCCTTTTCCTCCAAGATATTTCTGTGATCACAGCCTCCTCCTCTGAGGAGGAGGAAGCAGAGATGGAGGGGAAGTTGGGTTGCTAAGACAGAATGATGCAGAGTTGGGTGAGGGGGGTGGGAAAAGCTGGGGAGGAGGGAACGGAGAATAAATTGATGGGAGAGGAGAGGAAGATAGGGGGATGCAGAAGGGAGGAGGAGAATGGGATGAGATGGAACAGAAAGCGAGAAGGGTGGGAGAAGGGGAGAAAGACGAGGGGCAGAAGAAGGCAGCGGGGAGAGGGCTGTGGACCACAGAAACACAGGACTCTTGGCAGACAGAGAAGCTGAGAAAGCAGAACCTCCCAGCGAGGCCTCCTGCTGCTGCTCCCCACCAGACAGTGCTCCCACACTGCTCCCTCTGGGACCTCCCAAGAAGGAGCCCATTCCCACACAGGCACACACCTTTCTCTCTCTCCCTCCCCCTGCCCTGGCAGCATCTCACTCTGACACCACTACCTCCCACACCTCCCCGCTCCATCCCCAGCCCACAGTTCCTGCCTCAGCTATAAGCATGACCCCCTTTCTCACAGTCCCTGGGGTGGGGAAGACCTGGCTGAAACCACTGAGCCAAGCAGTGGCTTTTTAAAAGCCTGTTCATGCAAATAGGCAGAGGTGGGGGGCAGGGAGAGATAAAGTGCTCAAGCCTGCTCACCTCCCATGTCCTCCACCCCAGAGGCTCTGGGACTCTGGGGGCCTATTCCCATCTTCCTTCCCTCTGTGGTGAAGCTGGAGGCTGGATCAGGGAAGGGAGCGAAGGGCTAAGCGGGGCTGAAAACAGGAGGAAAGGAGTCCGATGCACCCCACGTTTTGCTCATTCTCATAGGTTCCTGTAGGTCCAGGCATTGAGAGAGCCTCCACCACCATGCTGGTCTCCTGAACAGGCCAGCTCAAGTGGGAGGAAAGGGGTCATGACCCAGGGGGCCAGAGTAGAGGTGACATCCCAAAAGCAAATTCCCCAAACACAGGCAATTCTCCAGGCCACAATAGGCGCCAGAAGGCCAAGCTCAGGAGCCACTCGCGAGGGCTGCCGGCCATTCGAGCTGCCCATGGCAGCTTCATGGCAGCCCACGGCAGCCCAGCTCCAGGTTGAGCCGTTGTTCATAATTTTAGCTATAGAGGGCACAGCTTACTGGTGCAGCTTACTGGCCCATGTGGGAATCGAACCAGCAGCCCTGCTGTTCAGAGCTCTCACTCTAACCAACTGAACTATCTGGCTGCCCAGGAACTAAGTGATTCTGCAAGCCAGGGTAGTGGTGAGGTCTGACACTTCCACATTTAATCCAAGAAAAAAAGGCTTTCCAGAAAGTGGGAGGAATTAGCATAGACACATTTCTGGCTTGAAGGGCCCGTTCTGCCTCGGAGGCAGGGTGCTGGTCTAAATGACCCATGAAGACTCCTCCCAGCATTTGGTTTCAGGGCTTACTATATGCCCTCTGTGCTTCAGTTTGCAAACATACGCACAGCGAATGATAGATTCTGAATTTCACTGGGTGAGGCACCCCTCTTATAAGCTCCATAGCCCTCATCATGATAAGGTTTCGTGATCAATGTCTGTCCCCACAACTAGAACACAGATTTCAAGAGGGCAGGACCTTCTCGGTCCTGTTCATCACCACATCCACAGCCTAGAACAGCTCCCACACAAAGTAGGTACTCAACACTGTGTTACGGAGCAAATGAATTAAGGTACTAAACAGCATGGGATCCATCAGCCACAGGAACTGACTCAAAGGAGTGGGGGAAAAGGAAGCCAAGTGAATAGGGGCTGAATCGCCAGCTCTGTGAAGCTCTGTGTTCACTTCATTCCTTCCATCAACAGGCACCAAGCACTTAGGATATGCCAGGCGCTGTTTCAGGTGCTGGGAATACAGCCGTAAACAAGGAGCCAAGTTCCGGCCCTCGTAGAATTTACATTCTAGTAGGAGGAAACAAACAGCAGATAAATAAATGGGAAAGTATCTAACATGCCAGGTGGTAGTAAGTGCTGCTGAGAACAATAACTCAGGAAATTAGGACCAAAGGGGGTCTGGGGAAGTGTGGCAGTTACTTGTTACTCTTGATCAACAACTGAGCAGAGGCCAGAAGAAAGCGATTAAAATTGCAGAGAGAACCACATGGAGACGTAGGAAAAGGGCACTCCAGGCAGAAGGAACAGCAAGTGCAAAGGTCCTGAGGCAGGAGGGCGTGTGTTTGCTGTGCTCAAGGAATAGCCAAGAGGCCAGTGTGGCTGAAACAGAAACAGTGAAGAAGGCGAGGAGGCCAGAGGAGCAGAGGGCTCGGGGACATGAGACGTGAGGCCACAGGAGCCGAGGAACGACAGGACAGGACTTGCATCTTAAAAGCATTGCTCTCTTGGGGCGGCTGGGTGGCTCAGTTGGTTAGAGCATGTGCTCTGAGCAACAGGGTTGCCAGTTCGATTCCCACATGGGCCAGTGAGCTGCGCCCTCTGCAACTAGATTGAAAACAGCGACTGGACTTGGAGCGGAGCTACGCCCTCCACAACTAAGATTGAAGGACAACAGCTTGACTTGGAGCTGATGGGTCCTGGAAAAACACACTGTTCCCCAATAAAGTTTAAAAAAATAAAAAAGCATTGTTCCGGCTGCTGTGTAAGGTTGAAAGGGAGCAAGAATGGAATCAGGAAGTCAGTGGACAAATGCTGCAGGCTCAGCCTGACCTGTGGCCCGGGGCAGCAACGGAGGCCAGAAGCGGCCGCGTGTATTGAAAGTAGAGATGAGAGGACATGATGCGCAGTGTGAGAAAAAGAGAGGAATCCAGGCTGCCTCTACGGTTCTTGGCCTGAGCAACTGGAAGCATGGAGTTGCCATTAACTGATACAAGGAAGACTTGGGGGGACTGGGGCTGGGCCCAGAGTTCTGTTTGGGGCATGTTAACTAAGCAGCCCAGGCTGGAAGTCATCAACCCGCAGGTGGTATTTCCAGTCATGAGACAAGATGTGAATGTGGCAAAAGAGCACGGAGGTCAGAGGAATGAGGCCCAGGGAGGCCACAGGTGGGGGCAGGGCAGGAGAAGCCAGCAGAGGAGGCTGAGACGGCACAGCCAGTGAAGCAGACGGACACGAGGTGGTGGCCCTGAGGCAGTGTTTTAAGAGAGTGGAAACACTCACACGGAGGCTTTGGCATCCGCCAGATCTGAGCTTGAACCTCACTAGCCAGCTATGCCACCTTGGGCGAGTCACCTCCCCTCTCCCTGAACCTCAGTTTCCCCATCTGTCAAACAGGGATGGCGGTAGTACTTGCCTCGTTGGGTGTGTGGGGATTAGCTCAGCTCGGTGCCTGGCACGTAGTGAGTGCTCAAAGACTGCGGGGCTGGAGCAGTTAGCACCTGGGAGGACTCCTTCCCAGGTTCGGAGGCCACAGGTTCAGGTTCAAGCCTTCATGGACAGAACATCTGTGTGTCACAGGCCCCACTGGAACCAAGAATCCAGACCTCTCCCATCCCAACCTCACCAAGACCGGCCAACTTCTCCCATCCTTAGTCACTAAGCAGAGCTCCCCACAGTGTGGGATGGGAGGTGACTTGAGGGGGTAAGTGGACACCCCGTGAACTAACTGAGTCACAGAGTGGGAACGTTAGTCACAGTTCCCATCCAGCTCTTCTGGTTACACCCTGAGAAAGCCTCACAGCGATGCTACTGCGTCTTTAACATCCATCCTAACACTTAACAAACAGGAAGCAGGCCGGCTCCGTCACTTCAGCCATGCAAGCTGGACATCAATAGCCCGGCCGGGCTCTGCAGCCTCACTGGAGCTGTGTCTGATCACCTTCTATTTATGGCAAAGATATTGATTTTCCATTTCAGGAAGACAGAAGTTTTCTTTCTAAACAAATCCATGGAAGTAAAAAGATAAATGAGATGATTTCAAGAAAAGGCTAAGTGCATATGAAGTGGCTTGAGGAGTGTGTGGGGGCTGGGTGGAGGGAATAGTGAGCCAGGTATCCCAAGGTGGCTCCTTTTGCTTGAAGTGTGGGAAATGCTCCTTTACAAGAATCCAGAGAAAGAATGGGGCTAGCCCATGGCAGCCATTCTACAGCTCAAGAACCAAGTCAGTCACAGTCACCTGCTGAGACTCAAGAATATTCTCCAATGAGCACAGATACTGGGAGGGACAGGCCTGCAGCAGGACCTTTAGCCCACCAAGGGCCCCACCCTAGCTGATCCACCAGCTGTGGCACTAGGATGGGATAAACAAGACTGCTCATAAGACTGATAGTCTTTCAGCCCTCAGCCAGTTCCCCATCACCCAGTGACCCCAAGACAGCCCACCATCCGGCAGGAGCCTCCTCCACCCGAGGCTACACCAAGATAAACCTCGAGAGTCCAGTTGGAACCTTCCTTAGGGCTTGCGACCTAGTCCTCTGGGGCTCAGGCCTGGTCAGTCTCAGCCCCCATCCCTCAGGTAGACAATAGGGCTTGGGCGCTGTGTGGCCTGGATGACAAGCGCAAGCGCTCCCCTTCTCGACACTGCAGGGCCTTGCGCTAAGAGCACCTACCCCATTCACAAAGACACCCGGCCCCTGTGGAGCTTACATGAGAGTGGGGGAGACAGACCGTGAACAAGTCAAGAAATAAACTGGGGATCCAGCTAGGGAATGACAGAGTGGGGGAGGGCAGGTGCGTCTGCAGACAGTGGTCAGGGATGGCCTCTTGGAGGAGGTGATTTGTGAGTGAAAAAGTCGGGCAAGGGCAGCTCTGGGGGGAAACATTCCAGGCAGAGGGAACAGCAAGTGCAAAGACCTTGGCACAGAAGTCAGTCTGGTACTTTCTAGAAACCACCAGAAGGACCACGTGGTTGGTGCAGAGACGGAGGCAGGGGGTGAAATGGGAGGTTGGCAGGGTGGGATCCTGACAAGGGTCTCCTCCATCTTGACAGCAATGGGGAGCCACTGAGGGGAGTGGCATGATCACTTTTTTCATAATTGCTGTGGCTCCTGTACAGAAAATAGATGGGAGTGGGTCTGGAGTGGATACAGGGGGAGCCAGCAGGAGACTACCGAAGGCTCCCAGGTAAGAAGCAATGGTGGTTTGGGTTGGGAAGGTGGCATTGGAGATGGCCAATGTTTAGGAGGCAGCCCCAACAGGTCTCACTAATGAATCCCGTGAGCATGAGGGAGACAAATTATCCCTAAGTTTCTGGCGTGTGAAGCCATGATGGTGCCATTTGCCATCCTGGGGAAGACAGGAGAGGAGCAGGTGGGAGAGATGGGACGCCCTGAATTCCCTGTTGCATGTTATCTTCCAGAAACCTGCCTCATGCTGATGGAGCTGTCCTGTGGACAATCAGGCACTGAGTCTGGAGTTCAGAAGAAAAGGTGGGAGCTGAGAATGGCCACTTGGAGGCGGCCAGCAAGTGTATGTTAAGCGGTGGATGCCCCGTAAGTACCAAGCGCTGCTCACTCCTCTCCATCCCACAAGCCATGGTCTCCCTGTGCACCCCGGGTACCTGCAGCGTCTCCAAGGCCTGGCCGGCCGTGCCGGTGGTGAGGGAAGCCACCTGCAAGGCCTGCTTGCGGGCGGCCAGTAGGATCCTGCAGTAGGTGAAGCAGATAGCGCCTGAGGGCAGGAAGAAGGTGAGGCCCGATGCCACGAGGACGAAGGGCAGGCTAGCCAGCAGGCGGCACTGGCCGGGGGCGGGTGCCCGCGCGCGGCCCAGCTCGTGCCAGCCCAGCAGCAGGGGCAGGAAGGAGGCGAGCGCTGCGAGGCTCCAAGCGCCCAGGACTAGAGCCAGGGCGCGCGGGGGCGTCATGCGCAGCTTGTAGCGCAGCGGCGAGAGGATGAGCAGATAGCGGTCCAAGCTGATAAGGCAGAGGTTGAGGATGGAAGCGCTGCAGCACATCACGTCGAAGGCGGCCCAGAGCTGGCAGAGGCCACGCGCCAGCACCCAGCGCCCGTACAGCGCGTTCAGCATGGCCGGCGGCATCACCACCAGCCCCACCATCAGGTCCGACGTGAAGAGCGACACCAGGAAGAAGTTGGACGTGTTGCGCAGCGCTCGCTGCGTGCAGATAAGCGCTATGAGCAGCGAGTTGGCCACCGCCGTCAGTGCGATGACCACACATAGCGCAGCTGCTACCCAGCCGCTGCCCACCGGGTCCGACGCCAGCCCCGACCCCCAGTCGGGGGTGCTATTGTGGGCAGGGCCAGGCTCTGGGACCATGGGGGCGGGGGATGGGCTGCAGGGCCGTGAGGCCCGGGAGGGGTCCTGAGGACCAGCGAGAAGCCACAGTCAAGGACCTGGAAGAGTGGAGGCTGGAGGGGTGTCGGTGAGAACAGACCCCCCCTAATGGGGTCAGGTGGGAAGAAAGGGACAGGGCGCTAGGTCAACGGGAAGCGAGTGGGAGGGGATGGAGAGGGGTTCGTTCCGTATAGTCGCGGGACAGGGACGCCCGGGTCAAACCGGTAGGAAGTTTGGGAGGGGGCCCCTGATGAGGAGCAGAGCGCCTTAGGGGGGGGCGAGCAGAGAGTCAGGAGGATGGGGAGGGGACGCCAGACGACTCTCGAGGTTAGATGGGTGGGAGCAGAGCCCTCGGAGGAGCGGCAAGATTGACGCGAGGGCGCCTGCCTGGGGCAAAGACCCGGGGAAGTGGGAACCGAGGGCGAATCGGGGCAAGCGCCCCCACGGCAGGTAGGCGTGTGGGGGCGCGAGGGCCGGAGCCGTAGTGCTTGGGGTCGCGGGTGGCGGCCCACGGGCCAGAGCAAAGCCCCTGGCGGGGAAGGCAGATCGCACAGCCAGTGCAGAGGCTCCCTCGCGGCGTGCGAGGGGACGCCGGGCGGGCCGGGGGTACAGAAGGGGCAGCGACAGCGCCTCCGCCCCCTCCCCACCCAGCCGCCGAGTCGCGGGCCCCACTCCGGCCGGCGTTTGGTACCTGGGGCGCTCAGCGCTGCTCCGCAGCCGGCGATTGCGGCAGATGCCGAGGGGCTGCGAGAGGAAGAGGCGGCCGCGGGCCGGGCAGGCGCCCAGAGAGCACCGGAGGCTCCGCGAGCGGCCGGCGCGCGCTGAGGAGCCGGCGGACGCTGCCAGGAGCGCGCGGTCCCCGCGCGGAGGAACCTGCGCCCCGCCCTGCGGTGGGCGGGGAGAGCCGAGCCTCCGCCTCGCAGGTAGGCGGGGTCCCAGTCCCCCAGGCTTGTGGAGGGTCGATTAGATCTGAGAGCGCCAGCTGCTCCAGGTCGCCTCCCCAGATGTGGCTGCCTCCACAGCCCTGCATACCCATCCCCAACGCACAAGTGGCAGCGGCGCCGCAGAAGGAACTTAGAGGAGGGGGCTGTGACCTGCCTTTATCCAGAACTGCCCCCCAATGCGGGGCTGCCCACCCGCAGCGGGGGTCACCACATTCCAGGGGGAGCCCGTTGGGAGATATTGGGCAGATCACTTGACAGCCATATGTGTACACATATGTATATATATTATAATAACCTGGATACTTTCTTCAAACCTTTAAACAGCAGGTTACCTTCTCAGGGTCTTTCGAGCAAAACCATCCCCCGACAGCGCCACGCACTAAGGATGAGATTTCTGACCTGTTGGTACGCCCAGTTTAACGGAGCATGAACCGACTGGGGAAACCCCAGGCCAGGTCGGGTAGAGTCACTGCAGGTAAAGGGGTAGGACGAGGCACCTCAAGGTGTGATCCAGCTGTGTATCCCATCCTCTGGCTAGGAAGAGTCTCTACTGAACACTTCACAGATTAATATTGTAGAGTCCATCCATTAATTCCACAAACATTTACTGAGCACCTACTAGGTGTCAGACACTGTTTCAACCAATTGGGACACGACAGTAACCAAAACAGAGATCCCAACTTCATGGAATTTACATTCTAGTAGAAGACAGACAATAAACAATAAGCAAGACAGACAATAAACAATAAGCATAATAGATGCTTAGTCAATGAAGCATATATGATATCCTGTGCTAAGGGTGAGGTTAGGGCCCTGAGGCTTCCAATAGAGGCGGGTCACTACCGATGGACAAAAAGAGCAGCTGTTCAGTAATTAGATGTTTGTCCTGCCATATATATAGGTCAAAAAAGGTTACTTCTGGTGATAGCTCTTATTATGGGCAAGACTCCAATTTTAAATTCTTTAAGGGAGAGGTACAAGTTTCTGTTGAGCCCACAGCTTCGATTGTCTTTAGCTCAAAAGATCCTGGGTGCCACAGAGGCACATCTTGGGGCAACTCGTTCTGATCCCCTACAGCTCCCCCATATAAGGGTCCTGCTATGTTGCAGGGGCTTTATTAAATTATTCCAACCTCTACAATAATGCTGAGAGATAGACGTTAAACTGGGGTTCAGCAAGGCCAAGGGCCTCACCCAAGGTCACCAGCAACAGGTGATCAAGTGGAATTGAAACTTGGGTCTGCCCAACACCCAAGGCAGAGAAACCTCAAGACCCTACAGCACCCCTCACGCACCCCTGAGCCATTATTTGGTGCTCAGAGCCCCAGCTTTGCCCACAGATGGATCTTTGCAGCAGAAGGAGGAGGCCTACCAACCCTCCCAATACCACCTGCACCACTGTGACAATTTCTGCCAGGTCCCAAGGAACAGGGTGTAGCACACACAGCACGGGCTGAAAGTCATAAAGACCACACTTGGGGTCTCATTTCTGCTGCTTACCAGCTCTGTGGACTTAGGACCCACAGCTCCATCTCCCTGGGTCACCATTTTCTCATATGCAATAGTTACTAGAGCAATACAGCACCCACCTCACAGGGTTGTTGAGGGGATGAAATGACCCTGGTGTAATCTGTAAACTTTACAGTGCTGTGTCAGTACCAGCTGTTGGCCTCAGTGTTCCCATCTGTGCAATGGGAATGCGTTCAGCTCTGCAGAAATTCCTTCAGCCCAGCACTCCTGGTTGAACAACAGCAAACCCTAAGGTGCTGTGTACAACAGACTTTGGAGCCCAGTGACCTGAGTTCATAACCCTGATTCTGCTCCTTGCTCTATGAACTTGGCAAAGCCTCTTCAGTTCTCTACTACTATGAAACTAGGGTAGTGAAGATGTGAACAGAATGAGTATTTAAACCATTTCACACAGCTTTGAAATATTAGTGGTATATAGTGGGATAGAATATTATTAATAGTCTGTCTGCGTTAGCTTTTGCTGTAATGTTTGATAGCCTTTATTTAAATTTAAAAAAAACTAAAGAAAACATGACAAAAGTGTTAATGTTTGTTTATCCTGGGTGATAGATTCACAGGTGTTTGTTATATGACGATCTGTACTTTGCTATATAATTAAAAAATAATTTTTTCCAAGTGTGGGCCTAAGTGGTGATGCCACCTTGTGGCCACACCATTATCTTGAGTTGAAGAACTTTTCAGAAGTCCCATGTGTGTTCCGAAGTTTTTCTTTTCTGTCATGGGTTGATAATGTCCTAGACCTCCTTCACATTTCAGGGTAGAGAGGGACCTTCAAGGATGCTTAGCCTTTGTTTGCTTGCTTTTAACCACAGGTTGTTCTCTCCCTAGAGGAGAAAGGTGGTGCCACAATGGGACAGCTGAGTCTTAGGAAGTCCTCTGCCCCAGGCCTCCATTCCTGTCAGTACACAGAGGACAAGGAAATGGAGAAACTGAGGTTCAGGGAGGGTGTAAGGCCTGCCCATAGCTGCTCTCACGGAAGACATTGACCAACTCTGTAAACTCCATGAGGACAGAGATTTGCAGGTTTTGTTCACTGCTGTATCCTCAGCACGTTAGGCTGTCAGTAAATATATAAGGCGTGATAAAAAAAATATGGTGAATGCTGCTGCCGAGTGCCATCCAATGGAAAGGTGATGGTAATTGTGTTTTTTGACCTTAATGGAATTATGCAAGCTGAGTTTGTACCCAGGAAACACCACGGTGAACTCTGAATATTATAAGGGCTTATTAGAGTGTTTAAGAAACAATGTGCATAGAAAACGTCCTGAGAAATGGGCAAACAGTTTCATCCTTCATTATGACAACGCTCTGTGTCACACATCGCTCCTGGTATGGCAATTTCTGTCAAATGAAAACATTACGGTGTGTCCTCATCCACCTTATTCACCGGATCTGGCACCATGCAACTTCTGGCTCTTCCCCAAAGTCAAAATGACCATGAATGGTAAACATTTTGAATCGATCGATTCAGGACATCGAGGCAGCCACGAAGGAGCAATTAAAAACACTCATGAAAGAGGACTTCCAGGACTGCTTCAGAAAGTGGCAAGAACGATGGGATAAGTGTGTTCAAACCGAGGTGGGTATTTTGAGGGGGATTAATGACAATGTGTCTTTTACTGTAATAATTTTTTTTATTTAAACATTCACCATATTTGTTGATCACACCTCATGTTCAATGAATGGATGAACAAAACTATCAGCCCAGCCACCAGCAGTGATGGCCAATCATTTATCCTCAATAATTGTAATAATGGCTGACGTTTACCCAGGTCTTACTCTATGCCAGGCACTGTTTCAAGCTCTATATGTACATTGATTCATATAAAGCTCACCATGACCCTGAGAGTGAGGAAGGTGTGATCATTATTCCCCCTTTTACTGATGGGAAAAGTGAGCCTCAGAGATCTTAAGTGACTTGCTCAAGATGACACTGCCAGGATTTGAACCCAGGCAGACTGAATTTTCCCTGAGGCTCGGGGAAAGGGAAGAAAACTAGTTGGAGTTTGTTGGCTTCATATAAGCAAACAAGGCGGAGAAGCCGGAACCAATTAGCCGCCGATTCGGAGAGGGGCCTGTGTTGACAGTGTCGTGTCAGTGTTAATCCCTCGTAAAGATTTTTATTCCCTTGGGGAGGGGCAGGGATTGGTGAGCAGGGGAGGGACGGCGGAGGGGGAGCTGCATTGTTTTTTCTGGGCTGTCTTGGTTCAGCTGGAGGTAGGCAGAGAAAAACTGGCAGCTGGTACTCCACACCTCACTCCCACTGGCGAACTGGTACAACTAGCACTCTCTCGCGTCTCTCAAATCTGGCTCCTCCCACTCGCGGCTCCCACATCCAATCAGCAGTGCCTCTCGCGTTTGGCCTCGCCCCACAGACGCCCTGGCCCTGCCCCCACTCTAGCCTCCATCATCTCCTTCATGGGCTATTGCAGTTTCCAGCTGGTCCCCAGCCTCCCCTTCTTCCTCCCACGAGACTTCTTTTAATTTCACTGAAACTCAGCTCTGTGCAGACACTTCTAGGGCTCTTACGGCAAAGAGAACGAAGTCTGAACTCTGGCTAGCATTCCAGGCCTGCCATCAGCTATGCCAACCCACCTTCCTGCTTTCTTTCTAACCAGCCACTTATTAATTTTTCTGTGAATTTATATCCTGCCTTGTTGGTCCCATACATAGGATAGAGGCAGCTCCTGACCAAAACACATCCTACTAAGACATTGCTCAACTCTCAGGGGCACAGCACCAAAACCACAGCCCCAGTAAGTCCTTCCTTTGGACCTGGTCTGAGTCCTCGGAAGCCCCATGGCACTTTCACTGCCCGCACGAGTGAGCCCTCACCTCCAGTCACATAGAAAGACTATTAATATGGCCAGGGTTTGTCCCTACAAGACTGGGGGGTGGGGGCGAGTGTCACTGAAGTCTGCATGCAGAAAGTATACTTCTCTCCAACCCAATTCCAACGTCCTAAGTATACTTCTCTCCAACCCAATTCCACGTCCTCTCTACGTCAAGGAATGCATGGCTACCACGGGCAGTCTCATGCAAGTTGTGCCCTGCCCAACTGCAAGAAGCGCCATCCTGCAGCTGGGAAGTACACAGCCTGCACAACAGTCCACAGCAGCCAGGAAGTGTCAGCTTGGGTACAGAGGAAACCACGTGTGTAGTACACAACCATCGTTAACGAGAGAGCGCCCGATTAGGCCACTACTTTCCAGCCTGGGCAAATCACTCCCAGGGCATCAAGGCCCTCGTTTTTCTCATTAGCAAAATGAGAATTTCTCAAGGATTAGAAATAATTTCTGTCAATTGCCTAGTCTGTGGTGGTTATAGCAGTGTGCAAGGAACCACCCACATCACCCGCCCTGCCCCGTCTCAATAGAGTTTGGGGGAACCCAAGTTCAATGGCATGCAGGTCATGTGACCAAACTTGAAAGGTCATTGCGATGGGGGAAAGGACTCCATCCAGAATGATCAGGAACCTGCCAAGCACATAGTAGGTGATTAACAACTGGCAACTACTAAGGTTCTACAGAGAGCAGAGTGATTATGCCAGACTGCCTGGGTCTCAGTCCCGTTGGTGACACTTCACTGTATGACCCTGAGCACATTACCTAATCCCTCCACACTTCAGGTGCCTTGTCTGCAAAATGGGGGCACTTCCTGCATCACAGGACGGTGATGAGGGTTGAGTTAATTTGTGTCAAGTCCTTAGCTCAGCACTCCACCCTGTGTATTAGTTTGTAACCACCGGTTTTGTCCATTTCCCCTTCTCTGGGGCCAGGCCAGGCTGGGGCCCAGGAAAGCACTGATTGATGCTGGGTCACTGTGAGGGTGAAGAGATGGCATGAGGCAAGCCCAAGGGACCAAGGGTCAAACTCAGAAAAGCTTAGTTGGGGAGGCCCACCCAAGGTATATGCAAGACCAGAAATGGGCAGCCAGGGGCCAAGGGAGCTGGGAACAGGGGCCGGAGGTGCACAACATGGCAGGGAAGTGAAGGGTCTGCACTGCCCCTCTCCCTAGGCCCTGACACCGGGCCCCTCAGGAAACCCGGGTCAGCAGAGACAGCCAGTGACGAGGACACAGGCATTGAACACATTTATTCATGAGAAAACTCAGGGTCCGTCAGGGAGACAATCTACTGGTTACAAGCTCCAGAAGCTCTTGTCAGGATAGCTATGGGGGCTGGTGAGGCTGGTAGCCACCCTGGGGACAGAAGAGCAGCCACAGGCAGTTCTGGGTACTGAGGGGTGTTCTGCCCTGCGCTGTCCCCACCCGGCCTCCCGGCCCCCTCTAGGGTTAAAGTGCTGCTGGAAGGGGGAGGCTGGTGGGAGCGGGCGGCTAGAGCGCTGCAGGAAACAATGGCCGCCCGCAGGGGCCTCACTCATCTCTTCCTCGTTTCTTGAGGCTCAGCCAGAGTCCATCCCACCCAGGTCCCTCCATGGAACCTCTGAGAAAGGGAAACCCCTCCCCACCATCAGATATTTAGAAAGAGTTCCCTTAACAGGTGGAGACTGGCTCCCTCAGCTTTCTGAGGGGCCTAGAACGTCGGGAACAGTGGGAGGTACTAAGACCTCAGAGAAGAAGAGGGAGGGATGCTCTTCTGTGACAATGGGCTAGGGGATCACTCCCACCCCCTGGCCCACAAAGCCTCCTCCTTTGTCTCCCTCCATCCCGTGTAAAGCCAAGGAAGCCAGAGGCCCACAGAGCCTGGCCCCCAGCTCCAGGGCCATGAGTCAGCAGGGTCCTGCCCAGGCCTGACTCCCAACCATGGAGGGAGGACCACTTCAGTGCCACTGGGAGGAGCTTCCCTGGGGATGCGAGTGGGGTGGGAGGCCTTTGGGGGAGTCTGTGGGGTTGCAGCTCCCTGCTCCCTAGCCCAGACCCAGCCCCTCCTTCAGGGGTGCTGTGGGCAAGGTGCCCACCCTCAGCTCAGGGCCCAGCTTCACTATCTGCACCCCAGGGGCCCTGCCCACCAGAGGCTGCGTGGGCCTTAGCCTGGCTCCCGCCATTTTGGATGGCCTCAACCCCACCTCAGCAGCTTAGCCAACTTCCTCCCCCTCCCAAAGGCATGTCTCTAGGAGGCAAAAAGGAAGAAACCCCCCCCCCTCCGAAAAAGAACCCTGAAGATCTCTGCTTCCTCCCCCCACTCTTGAATATATTAAATTGTGCAGCTTGGCTCCAAACCCCTCCCTTCAGATCTCCATGGCAACCGGGAAGCATTCCAAGTCCAAGTCTGAATCCAAGTCCATCCAGTGCCAAAGGGGGGCATCAGCCTCTCCCCCCAACACTTCCCCCAGCATTCCACAGGGGATGAGAGGGGAGGAAGAGTCAGGGGCCTCAGTCCTCAGCCCCCTCTTCCTCAGCGTGGGGGGCCCCAGGGGATTCCTCGGGCTCAGGGGTCTGCCCATCAGGGTGGGGGTGAGGATGGGGGTGGGGATGAGTGCCCGGCTGGGAGCCCAGCCCGTCCTCGCCCTGCACGTAGACATTCAGCCCCTCGTGACTAGGCTCCTTGCCACACGCCTGGCAGCTGCAGTGCAGGATCTTCTCCACCAGCTTGTCCACCCTGGGCACCTCCTCATGGCCAGGGCACTCCAAGGTTACCTGGAGAGGGCAGGAGAGAAGGGGAGAGATATTTCCAACGCCTGGGGCAGGCAGGGAGGTCTCATGGGACCAGGAATCCCAGAGACCCCCGAATCCTGAGCCAACCTGATACCCTACTTAGCTCTGTGGGACCATCCGGGGGAAGAGGGGTTTGAGTCCCTGCAGGGGCCACCTGACTTATCTCCTCACATCCAGACCTGCTACCTTCCTTTCCATCCTCTCACGGCAGCCAGAGGGGGAAAATCCAATGTGGCCTGCCTCTGCCTAAAACTCCCCTCAATGCTCCCGTGTCACTGCACTCGGAGACAAACCCTGGCTCCTTACTAAGGCCACCCAGGACCATGAGGCTGCTCCTGATGGACCTCTCCACCCTGACTCTGGGGCACTCCCCTCACCTGTACTGACTAATGTGCCTGAGGCTTTATACACGCTGTTCCCGCTACTTGGAAGGAGGTCCTCACCCAGCCCATCCCCTACCACCTGCCCCATGCTGTGCCGTTACCTTCTCCTCAACCTCTGGGTCTGAGCTCAGCCAGCCTTCCGCAGAGAGCCCCCGCCCAAACCTCCAGCCCAGCGGAGGTTCACCCCGTAGGGCCACCTCTGGCGCCTTGCTCTGCCCTGTTACCCTTCTTTCCTTCCTTTTCTTTTCCCCCCTCCTTCCACAGAGCACCAACTCCACGCCAGCTCTGGGGACACAAGGACAGGCACGGTCCCTCAAGAACTCAGAGTCTAGTGGAGGAAACAGACTTGTCAAAGTCACCCAAATGCAGATGGGTACTGGGGATGTGACAGCTGCTCAAAGCAGAGGCACACGGGGGATCAGGAAAGGGGCCCTGAGAAAATGGCGCTTGAGCTAAGAGCGGAAGGATAACTAGAAGTCAATTAGGTGAGGAGGAGAAGAAAAGCGTTCCAAACAGGGGAAAGAGCATGAGCAAAGGTCCTGTGGTGGGAACAAGCACAGCAAGTATGAGAGACTGAAAGGAAGTGAGTTGGTGTCAAGTGTCAAGTTAGTAAAGAAGGTGAAAAGAGCAAGACAAAGCTAGAAAGGCAGACCACGCCAGGCGGAGGCTGGGCAGGGGCTGGCAGCAGTACTCACAATCTCCCACATGGACTGGGCTGGCATGCAGGAGTCGCAGTGCACCAGGGACTCTGTAGACTGCGGGAAGGTGTTGGGAACGCTGTAGCTGAAGCACTGTCCTAGACACGCCCTGTGGGAGGAGAGGTCACCGTGCCCAAGACCCTGTGATGGAAGCAGGGATGGGCAGCCCTGCCCTCTTCCTCCCTCCTGGGCCCTTGTCCTCATCCCCTCCACTCAACCCCCTGGATCCCACCTGTTCTGGATGGACTTGGCCTCACAGCCGCTGTGGCCCACGATCTGGGTGATGTTCTTGGCCTCGCACCAGGCGCTCTTGTCCGGGAACAGTGCCAGCTTGTTGATGGGGGGTGGAGCGGCGAGCAGCATGGCGGGGAGGACAGCCCCCACCAGGACCCGAAGCATCATGCCCGTGGCCTTTAGAGCCCTAGAACTGAGCACATGCTTTGGGTGAGGCCAGCCAGGCTCAGGTGGTTGGGCACAGGGCGGGCAGTAGTGTTACAAGCATGGGCTCTGACACCTGACTGCCTGGATTCAAATCCTAGCTTACTAGCCAAGCACAACCTTGGACAAGTTATTTCTCCCTTATGAACCTCAAAACTAGGGCTGCTACTATGTGCATCCGATGGGTATCATGAAGATTAAAGAAGGTATATGAGAAGTCCTCAGTGAGGCTAGCAGATAACACACTCTGTACGTGTTTAGTTATTTTTATAATTTACTAGGTAGCTTTGAGCAAGTTACTTTTCATCTCTGTGCCCGTTTCTTCATCTAAAAAGCGGTGGATGAGAATAATGTGCATGGCAAAGGGTTGCGGTTAGGACTAAATAGGACTCTGAGTTTCAAGCACGTGGTGAGCAATCATTAGCTTCCTCCTCACTCTGATGCTGTGGGTCCTCCGGGGAAACACAAAAAATTGTCCACACAGTGCTTGCTCCCAATGGCTGGCCATCCAGCATGTGTCCCGGACACACTGCCATGGCTGTCAGTATTTTGATGACGGGAAAGCTAACCATCTTCATGTCACTGTGAATTCTTGGGCCACTTTGGCTGGCCGGACCTCAGGTGAAAAAATTAACCCTGAACTAAACGGAATTTTTTTTTGATGCCCCACCAGAGCCTTGAGCCTTGAGTCTACACATACATCGTTGTCCCCAGCTCCATCCTAACCCTAGCGGAGCAGGAGACAACCCAAGCCAAGCCCTTGACCCCTCCGTAAATTATCTGGGACAATACCAGAACCTGCCAGCAGATGGTGCTGCAGGGCAGGGTGTGTGTCTCAAAGATCCCAGCAAAGGGGGCATTCCCAACGTTCCCCGCCTTTATCTTCTGTAGGTTTCGCCCACTGCCCCGCCTCAAAAAGAGTGGAGGAAGGAGGCTTTGGAGAGATTCAGAAAGGAGAGCAATGCCTGCAAGGGGGTCCTGTGGGGAAAGGATGCTGGACTGGGAGTCAGATGCCAACACATGCTGTGTGGCCCTGGATACTCAGACCCCAGTGAACTGTTAAGACGAGTGAGGTGCCCTGGACCACCGGTTTCCAAGCCTGGGAGAGCCTCAGAATTCCCTGGGGACTTGTGGAGTGAAAGTTCTAGGGTGGGTGAAGGTCTGAATTTCTAACAGCCTCCTGGAGGTTTCTGATATGCACCCAGACTTGGGAACCAGTCCAGCTCAGTCAGTCTGGGATGTCCCCAGAGGAGCCTGGTGGGGCTGAATCAGGAGCAGGGGCCATGTACTGTCCCACTGGTGCCATGGACACCCAGCACTGGAGTAGGGGTGGCTTGGGGGTGACATCCCATTCAGAACAACCTTCGGCCCACTTTCTGCCAAAAGTGGAAGGTAGTTTGTCAAGTGTCCAGGAAGCAGGGAGAATGTTGGGGGGTCTTGCCCACTCCTGCAGTGAAAAGCCCAGGTGGGCTGGCTCCGCCGAGCTTGCGGGGAAGGCCTGCCTGCAGGGCTGTGACCTCCTCCACAGCACTCTGTCCTCTCCATCTAGCAAGTCCTCGAAGCTCCTGCCCCATCTCCCTGCAGGAGGCCTTCCAGTGAGATGCGTCCCGTCTCACTGGATGCCAGTGCCTGGGTGACCCTTGCTCCTAGCCCAGCAGGGAGGGGTGGAGCGGGGAGAGCAGTAGGAGGTGAGTCCAGACAGTCTGTCCCCATCCCAGATCAGTCTGTGTCCCGGCCCGGCTCTCACCCACACGTTTCCGGTCTCACTCACGAGATGGACAGCAAAGCCCGTGTTTTCACTACAACCACATCCTAATGAAATAAAATGGACTTGTTCCTAACTGCCAACCTAATTCATTTTTCAGCAGGCTTAGCATCCAAGAAGTTTCCTCACTCCTAATGGTGCCCATTCCTCCCCAGGGCATTAGCCTCTGACTCAGGGCCTGACCATGGCTGACCAGAAAGGGCCCAGAGGTCACCTGAGGTCAGAGCCCCCTGGGCCTCCCCAGGCTGGACTGGCCCCCTAGAGACCTCAGAGAAATCTGGGGACTTTGCTCCTATACCTGACCCCATCACCATTCCTCAGGAAGTCAGGGCAGGTCGGGCCAGGGAGGCGACGGGGACAAGGAGTGACGTGCAGGTTTCCTTAGGATTTGGAATTGAGATTGGGATTTTAGTGAAAGCTCGGAGATGAGCACTCAGGTCTGATTTGGAGTTGGAAGTAGGAGAGGTTAGAACTGAAGCAGTGGACCAGCACCAGGCTAACAGCGGTGAGTAGAGACTGAAATCAATAACAAGATTTATTGGAAGATAACAGTGAGTGTTTTAGGGGAGTCGCTGGCCTGAGGGGACGGGACTGGTTATTAGGGTCACGTTGTGGCAGAAGCTGAGGAGTAATGAGATACACCGAGGCAGAAGGCCACCTCCCTTATCTTCCCCCTGTTCTAGTACACAGCTGAGAGTTAATCCTCAGGCCAGCTGTGTCCACAGAGAGGGCGCTGTAATCCAAACCGCCAGCCCAGCCTCTCCCCAAGCCCTGGCCAGGACCCCGGAGGACGGGGCTGGGGCCACGCTCAGCTTCCCCAGGCCCGCAGCCCTGAGCTCCAGCAGACGGCCTGGGCTCCCTCCCGCATGGCCCCTAGAGACTCCCACGTTTGAGTCCCAGCCATCCCGCCTAGGAGCTGTGTGACTTCCAGAAATAAAGTTTACCTCTCTGCACCTGCCTACCTCAACCCTAAAACAGGGAGCATAGCACTTTCCTTGGAAAACAACTGGGAAGATGCAATGAAAGCACCAGCGCCCAGCAGGCACCCAACTCAGGCCAGTTCTCTTGCCCTGGGGGATCATGGGAAAGCCTGTGCAGGTATCAGAACCAAAGCTGGGGGCTGGGAGGCAGGGAGGGCGCCAGGCCAGTCTCTCCCACACGTTTGCCATCAGGACATGCCCGCCCTCCTCTGGCCCTCACTCCCAGCCCCTAAGAACCCAGGCTGCTTCCCACCCCAAGCACTGGGGTGGGCTCTTTGCTTTCAGGTTTTATTTTTTTATTGGTTTATTCTGTTTTCTTTTTTCAAGCAGCAGCTCAGCTAATGTTTTTATACAGCAGTGGGACTTTCCTTCCTGAGACTTGACAGCCTCACCCACAGATTCTCAGCCCTTCCTCCTGCTCTGAAGGTCACACAGCAAGTCACTGGGGCTCTCAGAACGCCAGGGTGGGAAAGGGTATCCCTGGGTTGATCCCCCTTGCACTGCAAAGGGGCTGCCCCAAGTCCCCCCAGCGAGTCAGGCCAAGCAATGCCCTTCCCCTTGAGCTAGGCAGTTCCCCTGCAGTCCCACGCTCATCTACTGAGCACCTTCTAGGATGACGGACAGGACGGCCAGGGTCCAGAGAGGGGAGCTGGGGTCCCAGACCCTGCACCCATTCAGGAGCTCAGAGCCTAGAGGGGGAGAGGCAGGCAGGTAGGGTAAGAGGAAGTTGTTTAGAGCAGAGGCAGTCAGAGGCTGGTGTTGGGGGGGCAAGGAACAGAGGTTCTTAATTCTGGATTTCATACAGGATCACGACTAATTACCAATGGTGGGAAGGGGAAGGGAGCTCCTGGTTGGGGGACCTGCATGAGCGAAGGCAGGAAAGGGAATTATCCCAGTCAGCCCAGCACAGCCTCTCTCTGCCTTGCAGGGGGTAGTAAGAGCTGGTGCTAACTACACACCAGGCAGTGGGCAGTGTTCTAAGCGCTTTCACAGAAACTCATTCAGTTCTCACAACAACCCTACGCAGTAGGCACTCTTATCTCCCCCGTTTTATACATGAAGAACCCGAGGCACAGAGAGGTTAAAAGATTTGCTGGAGATTTACCGAAAAGTAAATAGTAAAAAGAGATTTACTACTGACAATTTACCTCTCTGTGCCTCCGTTGTAAGGGCTGACTAAGTGAATATACGTAAAAGTGCTCACAACAGTTAGAACCAGTAAACAGTAAAACAGAACAGAAATATGAACCTGGACAGCAGCGGGGTAACCACCAGCTACCTTTGCAGATGAAAAGGTTCCCAGAGGAGGAAGCAGGAAATGGAGGAAGTGAAAGCATCCGGGGATCCGGGGAAAGGTCTGGAGTGGGCATGAGGCCCGTGGCTCCCTGCCCCTGCCCAAGCCCCAGCAGCCGTGTGTCTCATCCCTGTTAACACTCCGGTGGAAGCCCCAGGAACAGGGTTCGAACCTCACTCCCAACTCTGCCGCAGACCAGAGCGCGGCCGTGCCTGAGCCCTGCTCCTCAGAGCCTTGCAAAGGTACGATACTGCGCTTGCTCAGAGTGGAGGTGAGGCTTCAGCGAGAGCGACCGCAGCCCAGGGCTAGGGGCCTTCTTCCCACCCCACCGTCCACTGCCAAATCCAAGCTCTCCAGGTCCTTGGAGGCTTCGTGCAATGAGGCTGCCAACGACACAGAAAGGCCGGTCCCCAAAGGGACACGGGCTGACCCACTGCAGCACTGTGGAAACTGAGGCACAGGAAGTGGCCACCCTTATCTCCCACAGCAGAAAGAGGGCAGTGTGCAAACACAGGAGACCTGCCCCGGTGGCTTCCTGGGGAAAGGCTGGGAAGTGGGGCAGCAAGAACGCGGGCTTCGGGGTCGGGTCTGCGGGGTCCTCTCCGTTTCCACACGGACCAGAACCTGGCATCTTCTTTAAGGTGCGTGCCAAAAACTCAGAGGCCTGGTCCCAGCCCCGGACATTCTGGCCCCACAGGTCTGGGGAGCGGCCCGGGAAATCTGTATGGGCTCCCACATGATTCTGAGGCCCAGCAAGTCGGGAGCGACAGCCCAACTCCCCAGAGAAGGACCCCCATAACAGCACCACTGACAGGGTCCGCCCACCCTACGGCCTGGAATCAAGTCTTAAATTCACCGGAAGGGCCTAGATTTCAAGGGAGCCCTCAGGCCCTCCCCCACCCACTGTGAAGCCCTTTGTAGAGCAAAGACTCGATTTTGTATAACAAGTGAATGATCACTCGATTTTGTATAACAAGTGAATGATCGCTCCCCATTTCCCCTTTTAAGTAAATCTGAATATTCAGGGTTGCGTATGGCCCAGCACAATAGGATTTTCTAGGTAGAAGACATCCAGTCCCTACACACACACACACACACACACACACACACACACTCTCTCAGCCACTGTAACCTTTCTCTGCCTCAATTTCTTCATTTGCAAAGTGGGGGTAGTGGTAATACCCACCTCATAGGGCAGTTGTGCAAGGAAACCTCCGGATAGGGCTCCTATCGCGGGGTAACTCCTCAGTAAATGTCACCATTAATGCTTGTCAGCCTGGGCCACACATCCTCCCTGAACTCTGCCCACGCCCCGTCCCTCCCTTGCACCGGGTCTTGGGTGGTCCTGAGAATATCTACACCCAAGGTTGCACCTGCCCTGATGAAAGCGGACTGAAGGGGAACCCAAGCAACCGAGAGGAAGGGTTTTTATAAACTGTCCAGTGCTGCCTCACTCACACATTCACTTGCCAGGGTGGGAGCTGAGGGGGAGAAGATCCCACTCAGGCTCTAATTCTTGGGCCACTGACTGAAGGGACAGGGTCCAGGGGAGACCAGTGCCTTCTAGAAAAAACAGGCAGGGCCCGGCTGCCAGACTGTGCATGCTGCTAAGTGCAGAGGGTGTGGCGTTTGTGGCCCTCAGCTTGGAGATCAGTAAGGGCGGGGCAGTCACTGCAGGTTCTTGGACTCGGCGCAGGGACTTCCGCAAATGGTGCAACTGAAAAGGCGGCCAGACAGTGTCAGGCCACAGGTGGTTTCCCAGGCCCACTCTGGGGTCCAAGGGCAAGTTCAGGCCCAAGCTCATTCACTGGCTGGCTCGCTATGTGCCTGCAGGAAAGAGAGTTTAAGGGTTACAGAGCAGGCCACTGGCCACTAGTTTCACCTCCCTAAGCTTCACGTCTGTAAAATAGAGAGCACGGCCTGGGAAGGTCCATTTTAGCAGATCCCCTCAAAGGGAGTCTGGCTTCTGTGCCGTTGCTTAAGGCCACTGGGATTCCATGACCCCGGCCTCACCGCAGGGTGGCCTCCTTCCTCCGTCAGCGCTGGCACAGCATGAACCAACTGTCCAGGGGGCGGACACGCAGGGCCAAGCCCAGGCCCAAAAGGCCTGCATGCCTCTGCCAGGCAGCTCCACCTTCCTGGCTTCACCGCCCCCAACTCAGGCCACGGCCCTCCTGCCCACAGACCCACAGCTGTCTCCAAAACAAATCTATGCTAATGAGCTGCTGCTGCAGGGCCGGCCCACACATCTGCTCAGCAGAAATCCCCCTGTAGATCTCGCCAGCATCCCTGCCTGCTCCCCAGCATCTGACCCCTGGGGTTGGGGGTGGAGGGTCTGAGATTTCACTGTGAAAGAACGAGGATATGTCCATGGGCTAATGCATGGCACCTCAGCCCCATCCACCCCTCCCGCACACAGGCCCAGGAGAAAGAGGTCCAGATTGCAGGGGTGAGGGGAGAGGCATGGGGGTCACCAAGGAAATGCTCCAGCTTCGCCCCCTTTTTTTTTTTGGCCCCAACTAAAGGCAAACCACACCCAAGCAGCCCCAGCATCTGGGGGAGTTTCAGGAGGCTGGTAGTTTGACAGTAACAAAGGATGAGGGGCTTGTTGACACACTGCTTCCGCACTCCTCCCACCCCGCACCAGTGCCCAGCCTTTGGCCTCCAGCCCTGACCTCTGTTTTCCTGGGGTTCCCTTAGTTACAGGCTGGTGTCCTCCAGCTGGGCGAGGGCCTCAGAAAGCCTGAAAATGTGCCCTTCTCCCCTGTTGCCTGCCAAGCCCCTGGCCACGCCAAGGCAGGCAGCTGCCCCTTTACTGCTGCTTGTAAAAGATCAGAATCGCCCCGCCCAAGGAGCGGGCGGGCAGGTGGCCGGCAGCAGGGCCCTGTTGTCCAGGCCGCCTCGCGGGGGTGGAACTTTCAAGAAAACTGAGCCCCCGGAAAGGCAGGTTCCCCCTGCCCCAGACTCGATTCCAGGGTGACCCAGGCCAGGCCCCGGGGGCAGGCGGAAGGTAGGGGGAGGGTTTCGCTTCTTTTACCGGGTCTAGGAAGCTATTCTGACTCCTCCGACCCTGGGAGACTATTTGAATTTGAGGGTGGGCTGTAAGGGAACCGCACAGACACACACAGAGAGCGACCCCACAGAGGGGAAGAACGGAAAGACAGAGAGAAAATATACAGGCAGCGGCACAAACCCAGGGAAACTCAAAGAGGAGAGACAAAGGTAAAAGCCAGGGGAAGAGAGGGACGAAAAGAGAGAAACCGAGACACCGAGGGGAGACAGAGAGAGAGAGAAACAAAAAGGAGGCAGGACCGTGCTAGAGTGGAGAGGCTCGCGACGCGGCGAGGCCCGGCCACGGCCGGGGAGCGCGCGAGCCCAAAGGCCGAGCTCCGGGCGCTGCCGCGGCGCCCGCGCGGCCCGACCCGCCGGACTTTCGCTCCGCCACGCATCTCCGTCTCGTCCTCTCGTGGCGGCGGAAACTCCTACCGAGACATGGAAACCCCGGGCGACTCTCGGGACGGGCTCAGGGCGCAGCGGTGCCGGCTGGCCACCCCGTGCCGCGCCCACATCCCCAGCTCCGGCGTCCGTGCCCTAGGCCACCGGACCGGCCGGGGTGAAGCTTGCAGCCGGGGGGG